GAAAATGGCGCTTGTACTTTGCTTGCTAATGTTGATTATCTAATATTAAGTACCTTCACTTTTGGAGAGAGAGAGAGAGAGAGAGAGAGAGAGAGAGAGAAATGGTGTATAACGTCCACTCGACACAAACCAGGTTATTTCGGAACTAACATGTAGTTCAATTTTATTTCAATAATTCGCTTGCGCGTAGGGGTCTTTAGCAGTGGGAGGACCTGGAGAAAACCCACGAGGTTGGGCAGGCGATCATACTATTTGTCACGTACAACCGGGGGATCGAAACCACGCATGTTGACTCAAAGACAGACCTTATAGTTATTTATGTAGGATATATGTAAAGTGTATTGCAAAAAGTATAAAATTGTATTTGCTTGACTTCTGTAAATAAGTAATCATATGTTAAACTCTATACTAACAAAGACATGGTGATTCAGTTGACTCAATGACAGACCTTATGATTACAGTTCAAATTTTCGTAACATTTAAATATTTACATGTAGTGACGGGTGTTGTGCTTGGGATAACATTTTCTGTGACACTTGATATCACTTCTCATTTAATATTGGAAGGATCAAGCAGCTAACAATACCTTTCTTTTTTTAAAAACATATTTAATATATCCATATTATTGACTTGTGATTATATGGGATCGACCCGGCGAGCATTGCCATTGTTTGCTTTTCTATTTCTGTATAGTAAACCTATTGTCTTGTGATTGATTCATCGATAAGCCGCGCCTTTCATTGATATGACTGGGTGTTAAATAATATGCGTATCCTTGAATATGCAACTTTATTCCTGTATCCATACCACATCTGTAATTGGGTATCGATAAGATAAAATTGATGAAGCATGGATATTATGTGTTATACAAATGTGAGAACATGTGTTTTTGTGTCTGTTGTATTGTCGCAATATTAGTATTAATACAAGAAATATTGTTTGCAATAAACTGAGATTTCGATCATGCGATTTTGCTTTTTTTCGTCCGCCGATTTCAATATGACGGCACATAATTTTAGGCACCCTTTAAATTCCACATTGGTTATGTAGAAATTCTATAACGGAAATTTTTATTGTAAAATAAGTCTATGACAAATATAGTTTACTGTGTTAAACTCGAGAACTCTTATTATCAATTGATCGCAGTAAACGCCCCGATGGTCAAGTGTCTTATACAATTCAATAGAAACGTTTATCTTTGAAATGAAGTATATCTCCAAAGAGTAAGTTCACCCGGCAGCGTATACTCAAAATCAACGTAAACATCAAAGAAAAGCGGCATCAAAACTGAAAGAAAATTATTGTAACTACATGTATAATCATTGTTCACGATTATTCTGGCCAATGAAATTAAAATACGATTGAAAGACAACCACGTCGAACATATGTTTTAAACGAATTCTAAATTTAATGCTAAGCTGTATATTTTTGTCATCCACAACCTTGATCCAAATATACGCGATGTGACTGATCGACGCATAGCGGCAACATATTGTAGGGCCACCTTGTTTTGTTCGCCGCTACAATTGATACATTCTTCGAGGCTTTGTGCAAGTAAACATAATAACACACATACTAACTGTTTACATTGAAATAAGTAATACTATCAGTAGTGGAACCATTTCTCATCGAAGAAGAGAGTAATTTTATTCCATAATTACGACGTGTGTAGCCCCAGTCCAATTACTAAATACCATTGAAACAATCTAAGAGAATTTTATAAATTCGGTTGAGGTCCAAAGGGTGATTTATGTCCGTTTCGTAATAAACAATGAAATAATAAATAATTATCAATTATAATATGATTGGCGTGACTAAGTATGGATTTCAGTTTTAAAATTGTTTTGGTAAATTGAAGATCAGATTAAAGGGTTCGGGTTTATTGTGATTCCAAAACTAACACTATAAAGTTTGGTTATGACCTTATCAATTATTTGTCATTTAAATCTGATCTAATTAGTCCATATAACTTCCTTGATATCCAGTAATTGTGAAATTAATTACTACAGTTTAATTCAAGTATTTTTGAATTGAACATATGAAACGAGTAAACATTGGAATTAAATGTGCGTCATATTGATCTGTATTAGTATTGTTATTCTCTGAACTGTAATGCTACGTTGTTCATTATTAAACAGACACAAAGATGAACCCTCATTCAAAGGTTGTTATTGCAAGAAATAATACAAAACTAAAATTCTCTTTGTAATAATATATCCCATTTGGTTAATTGACATGTCTGTGATATCGTCGTGATGCCTAATTGGTTCTATATACATGTGTCCAGTGATTATTGCACCTATAATATAATCTTTAATTTATCAGAATGGTGTCCAAGCTGTGTGCCCGTGGAATTTTAAAGTTTCATATCGTTGTACGTTGTACTGTAGTTTCGGAAAATCTTCATCATCAAAACTGTATTATTATAATCCTTGCAAAATTTGTAATTCTAGTGGAATATGCCCACACAAAAACTCTGTCTCAAAAAAGAGATTGTAGCTACTATCAGGTTTAAAAGCCTTTAGGAAAAGTGGGGACAACTCTGGAAAGGAAGGGCGCGGAACGCTGGATATAGTAAGGGTTCGTTATCTCATGGAAAAAATTATAGTCTCTATCACGTTCCCATGGATATTGGATAAAGCCTGTATTGAAGTTAAAATATTTTCTGAAAGTGGTGAATCTTAGAGGTAGGGGTTACTCCTGAACGGAAGTTCGCGGAACGCTGAATATCGATAGGGTTCGTCCTCTCATGACCGCACTGATTCACACCTGGTGTCAAAGAAATCCGTACAAATATGTAGCCTCTATCGCATTCACAAAGTTTTCAAACAAGTTTCATGATACTCGGACATGACACGAAAACAGCTTTTATACTCTCTGTTTAAAACCAAGTCCCATCTAACATTTACTCATCTAATTACCGCGAAAAGAAATATACATCTAGTCAGAAATATTCCATGAAAAAGTAGAATTATAAATAAGAATCGATTTTGACGACAAGAAATGGGGATTACAAACAATGTGGACAGGTTTAGGTAAAATGGGGCATATTAATTCGATTATGCCGAAAAGAAATAGGGAATCCTCTTTTCAGAATATTGTCATAATAGCCTACATGGTTCGTGAAAGTTTTAGAAAAATGCATGGGTGATTACATTTCCCAAATGAGAATCGGGCTTTGTATAAAAAATAAGAATATAATTATCGACCTCGTGCACTACACTATAATATACTATAAATTAGTTGAAAGTATATTAAATTGTATCCCAGAGGAGTATTTTATTAGTAACCATGATAATTATCATATCTAAACCGTACCAGGATGTTCTATAATAGTGTTATTATTATTGTGATGAAGCATTATGCTCTGAACTTATGCCAGGTTCTCATTATCACGATTCGTGCTGCGATTAAAATCATTGTTTTAAGCGTGAATCGTGGTAATCCTATGAGCACTGTTTCACAAAAACTTAAATCTCTTTAAAATGACCTTTAACTAAATTTCATCCTAACTTAAGATAGATGCGTTTCACAAAACGATTGTAAGCATTTTAGATAAAATTCACTAAAATAATATTTTAAGTTTTACAAAACTGCTATTTTAAGGACAATCATAACTAAAATCAATTTTAACTTGGGACAACCGTCACCCCTCCTAACTTAAAATCACGACATAACAAACATTGATTAGGGCTACGCTGTTGGTTTATTGCGACATATAGATAGATTTGGAATAATGATATTGCCAATGACAGGGTCCCATAATTTTAACATACTACCATTCACAAGAACAATTCTCATTCAATGTCTTTTCATAGCATAGGAAATATAGCTGCGGCCCAAAAGTTTATTTTATTGTAAGCCAATTTAAACATACATTATGCAAGAGCTAAATCTGCCTATTGCAAGTCTTTATTTAGGCTTCAGATGTTATAGAAATGATTAATTCGGCCTTTATTTACACGACAAGCTCAAAATCAACTCTGTAGACCATCGCATGGCTTGGATACAGCTTGGATTTAAACAGTCGTCCATTTAAAATTAAATCAAGAAATGACCCACCAAGCTTAATGTTTACCGTTAGTCACTGACGTCATTACCGGAAACTAGTGATGAAAGGCCCGAGGGTATCATAGTCATTGAGAATGTTACTTGATAATCGAGAATAAGTGGGTGGAGTTATTGTCTGTCAATCAAACGATCGGCAAATTCTCGTGATGCGGACACAGTGCATGCCTATTTCTATTCAAAACTTCAAACAGTGACAACTCCGTTCAGAATAAAGTAATTCGACTGTAATTTTCAATATTTTGTTTTTATCATCTATTTTTGAATTATTATAGCAAGAATGGCCAACTCTTTATTAAACTCTTAACTAATGTATCTTTAAGAAAATTAGATGAAGCCCCAAGAACAAAAAAAAACCCCAAATCCCAGTTAACAAAACTCTGTTTTACTGTTTTATATATTACCATAAATTATACTATTTTCAAATAATTAATAGACTAAAAAACAACACAAAAAAAAAAACTAAAAGAAAACCTGAACTCATCTTCATATCTAATGTCATGGAAAGAAGAGCACTCTTATCTATAAAGGAAAATATCTTCGTGCAGGCCTACAATGGTTTAATAGAGTAAACTTCTTGGCATTAAAAGGCCTAAAGGCCTATAATACTAGACACGCCATATGCAAATTATTTACTCATATGGTTTTTGGGTTATGATAATTTGTAAAAAATATAAATCAATAATCTCAAATATGTTTATTGAAAAATGTTATAGGCCTATTTAAAATTAAATTTCAATGTCATAAATTTATTATTATTTCTTAATGAAGGCGTTTGTTAATAACACAGCCTAAATCAGACTTTGATGCCACCTTTCGTTGGCAGTGTGTTTCTAACCTTTTTAGGTAACATTAATATCGATAAAATAGACCTTTATTTAAGACTTCGCTGTGCTTTATGTTTTTAACCGTTATGTTTATGCTGTTTTCAGATTTCTTTCGGTATTAATATTTGATAGGGATTTTTTTGTGCCGTCATGCGTGAATGGGATGGGACACGAGGCATGTAAATTCCGTCGTGACCCTGACATCCACGGAGAATATATCTAAATGATTTAATTTTAATTTTCTGTTTAGGGAAATAGTAGTTGAGAAACAATGGCAAACAATTGGAAAATGTTTATAAAAGATGCGTCACTGCATTGACTGCAATTATGCTATACATGTACATCAAACCACACTGGTAAAATTTATCAGATCAATACACAATCGATAAAACGTTAAAAACTAAAATATAAACATGTTTAATGTTGTTTGTTTTTAATAACAATTATGATCGACTATAATTGCAGTTCTTGTAGCGTTTTTAAAATCTACATTGAAAGTTCACCGACTACTTGCCAATTTATCCGTCAAACTAAAGCGAAAAAGTAAACACAATGAGCTAAATTACGCAGATCATTTCTTAGTCGAAACGTCACTCAGTGGATTGTGACCTGTGTAGGTAGGTTCAATTACTAAATGCATTTGAAATAATATACTATGAGCTAAATTAAACAAAAATAGCAATTAATGGTTTTATCTACAATCGTTAATCTACCGGTGCGGACTATGGGTCTTCTTTCTGTCTGTCCGCCTGTCTATCATTGGGAATTGTAAAACTGAGATGTGACGCTGGTGGGTTAACAGTTAAAATAAAGACATGTATAGGTTACATTATACGTAGCGTAAAAATCAGAAACAAAATGAAACGAAACAAATTTGTAATTTTAATTTTGATTAATCCGGCCCTATGTAAACAAAAGCTTGACATTAACATGCAAGCCCGATATCATGCCATTACACTGTTTGTCTTTTTCAGTATGGTCAAATTCATTGTGTTGTGAGGGAATTGGTACAGGAGAAATTCGGACAAGAAACTTGGGAAACAATTTTGTAAGTGATTTATTTGCACCAACGTTCTCTGGATAAAAAAATACATCCGTTGTCTTTCTTTTAGAACTGTTCTCTATTGATGCGACTAGTGAATTTCGCATTTCGTTACCACGAGCTGCATCAATCCAAGATTACAGTAACTAAATCCAGTCAAGGCATCAGACGTATGTTCCAAGAGCTTGTCATTGAAATGGAAGTGTTATAAATATTTGAATAAGTTCAACGTTTAAAGCAACTGATAGTCATTTGAATCCCGTGTAGTAATGTGAAATATGATCACCCCACAAATAGTTCCATTCTGTTCAATATTTACAAATATCTGAATATTGAATATTTCGTCACATTCGGCATCCACTGCAGACGATATAATCTAGCCAGCACTGCGCATTGTTGGATAAAACCAGTCGATGGTCCTCTTTAATTCCGGTTGAAACCAAGCCGACATATTATCTAGCTTCTTTAAGTGGCATTTAGAAATTGAACAGTAACACACTAACACTATTTATGGAATAACAATTACTGGTTTATTAACATGCAGCGTTTCGACAATGATACTCTTGTCTTTATCCAATCTGATTAAAACACAGATTCTATTTCGTTTCGTTTTTATAGTTCAAAATTTCGTTTTACTTGTCTTTACTACACTAGGATCCGGAAGAGTTGTTATATAACAGGCGTTCTACCTGATGTGAGGAATTAGCCAATGAAACGGTCTGTTACGGTGAGTTCTTGGCCTTTTTATGCACGGAACTGAGGGGTAAACCACTAGAAACGACAACGCTGATTGATTAATCAAAGTCTGACGTCATAGGGTCAAAAGCCGCTCGTTTGACCCCTGACGTGAACCCTCACTATAACTTGTCAGATCTTCATGTAGTGTAGGTCATCAAAAGTATAAAAAACGAAACGAAATATAGATCTGTATTTTAATCAGATTGGTCTTTATCGATTTGTTTGATAAAGACGAGAGTATCATCGTCGAAACGTTGCATGCTGATAAACCATTGCAGTAATTGTTATTCCATAAATATAGTGTTAGATTATCTATCGTTGATATTTAATTTTCTTAATTAAATAATCAGTTTGAGAACATTTTAGCGTGGATTTAGCTGTGAAGATTTAGAATGAGATCGATGATTTTGACATCTAATGTGATTTACTTTTAGAGAACAATCTGGTTTGGATGAAGATGCACACTTTCTAGTATTTTCTCAGTATGATGATGCAGAGACGTTTAAACTAGTAGGTGCTGTGGCAGAATGTCTTAGTAAGTTAACCACATTGTTATTCAGTTTAAGCATGGTTTAAAGATTAGAATAAGCGGAGCGCTAAAACAATGTTCTACATCAAGGCGATGCCTAAATTTCCCATTGAAGACAGGTAAAGAACGGTGGTCCAATTTCTGTTAATCAAGCGAAATGAGTTCCTCTATTAATTACATGATTTCCAGTCAAAAAAAACTCATCAGGCACCGAAGTTGGTAAATGAAATGGGGTTTAACGTCCTGCTGTTCTGCTCCGACTGCCTAAATTGGTATTATTAAGGTTCCGACCACCCCGGGGGTGGGGATGGTACGGTGGCTCAAAGAGTACAATGGTTCGCTAACCTGCCGATCCTACGTTGGCCTAGAAAGTTCATCGAGATTTTCTGACGTGGTCCCCCCTTCTTAGTGGTTTGGGACGGAGGACAGACAAGACCCCCTGACCGTTGGTGTTCGAAATAAGTGAAGGACGCAGTTTCCCTCGTAGCACTCTGCATGACGAAGGCCCGTCTTCATTAGCCATGCAGGAGCAGAACAATTGTACGTTAAACCCCATTTCATATCCGACCACCCACTCTCTTACGAACTAAAAATATTATTTTGATGGTACTCAATGACCGTTGCCTTTAAAATCATAGTGTACTTTTACAATTGACTCAAACTCGTTAGATGCATTTTAAGTTGTAGACGACGCCATAATGATGTATTTGTAGTACAAAATTGCTCAATTAACCTTCAATACAGTAAGATACACCAAAGGGAGATAATGACTCGTTTAACACAATTATTCGCCTTTTTTATGTTTGTCGGTGGTATGCGAATCCATGTCTTATAATATTTTTATCCACAGATTTGCCGTTAACAGCAGTATTGGAAGTATTCGGGGATTATTTTTTGATCTATTGTTTACGCCATGGTTATGACAAAATGTTAAAGACACTGGGAAGTGACATGTGGAGTTTTATACAGAACCTAGATTCTTTACATTCACTCCTAGCTTTAAGTTATAAAAACATCACGCCGCCATCTTTCAGGTAATCATCGATACAAACTAAGTATTATTCCCAGTCTTTCCAAGACACTTGATACCACTTCTCTCATCTGTTTCTTCTTTTAAATATTGTGTTGGTCTGGAATCCGATGTAAACGTTAAATTGCCATAAGTTGATATGACCACATCTAAAGAATGTAATCCTATAAAGTTCGTTCCATTACTAACCAAAAGAAAAATGCACGATATCAAATCAATTCAATACCTCATTTTGTCTGCTCCTATTATTTAGTACGTGTATAGACTACAATTTTGTGTTATATTTAATGTGCAACTCAAATACTAATCAAACGATTATCTTGTCGGTAATATATTCAAACGTTTTTTTTTAAATCGGATAAAAATTGTGATCTCTAGAGAGACCACAAGCTTAAAATGTGATTTTTCGTACAATCAAGGGTCGTAATTCAGGAAGTTAAAATCTGATGTGCATGAATATCGAATGGAACCCAGCACTTTTGGGTTATAAAATATATTTCAAGTTTCATCAAAATCTGATCAAAATTGAGTCCTTTAGAGGGCCCACAACCTTGATATTCCATATATTTACACTATTTGCGTACAAGGTGCGGCCATTTTGTCCGGCAGTTTTTAGTCGACAGTATTAGTTTGCAATTTTGCAGTCAATTAAGCACAAAGAACAGTCTTAACAAAGAAACTATTATACTAGATTTCAAAGCAAACAGGACAATTACTGGATTTATCGACCTTGCTATTTCTAGCTGGTTGTATATGGTTTACACCCAATATAAGTAGTTTAGAATTTTTTTCCTGTGGCAAAATACATTATCACGCCTATTGTTCAATCTTTATTATAAGTGATTTTCAAGATATTCTAGTTGTAGTTTTAAACAGGTCATGAACGAGTTATATTGCACCATTTCTACATATAAACATACTAGTTTTCTATTTAATTTAAATGGCTAAAACATTTTCGTCTACTATTTTATTTTAGATGTGAAACAGGCGAGGACGGTTCTTTACTACTGCATTATTATACAATACGGCCTGGTCTATACCCTATTGTAATTGGTAAGTGTATCTCACTATAGTATATACCCTATATTAATTGGTATATAAGTGCATCTCACTATAGTATATACCCTATTGCTATTGGTAAGTGTATCTGATTACAGTGTATACCCTCTGGTATATACCATGTTGTTATTAATAAGTATATAATACAACACCGACCGGTAATGGTAAGCAGATATATACCCTATTGCTATTGATAAGTCTATCCCACTATACCCCCATCGTATATACCTTATTGTTATTGGTATAAATATATCTTAAAATACCTTCTCGTATATACCCTTTTGTTATTGGTAAATATTTCCGACTATACCTCTATTGTTATTGGTCAATATAACATTCAATACCCTCTGGGATATACCAATTGTTATTGGTAAACATAGCCCTCTGTATATACCCTATTTTTACGCGTATCCCACCTTGAATTGAAATACCCAATTGTTATTGGTAAGTGTATCCTTCTGTACCCCCTGAATATACCTAATTATTATTGGCAAGTGTATCACACTGTACCCTCTGAATATACCCTATTGTTATTGGTAATTATATCCGACTATACCCTATTGTTATCGTTAAACATATCATACAATACCCTCTGCTCTATATCCTATTGTTATTGGTACATACCAAAAGTCATAGGGAATCCAATCAGAATTATATTAATATTATAGTGTATTATCCTTCCTATTTAGGGGGGGGGGGGGGTGGATGGCTGAATGGTTAGCGTGCGCGCACTGTAACATAAAGTCTGTCATTGAGTCGACTGGCGTGGTTTCGAATCCTCGGTTGTACGTGGCAAGGGGTAAAGTCGCCTGTCCAACCTCGTGGGTTTTCTCCGGGTCCCCCGGTTTCCTCCCACTGCTAAAGACCCCTACGCACAAGCGAATTATGTAAATAAAATTAAACCATATGTTAGTCCCGAAATGACCTAGTTTGTGTCGAGTGGACGTTAAACCCCATTTCTCTCTCTCTCTCCTTCCTATTTGCCGGATTGAAAATAGAAGAAACTGACAAGCAGAAACCATGCATAAGTTACTACCATACAAATTTGAAAGTTCGAAATATATAAACACGTTGACATAGGCAGTTCATTTTCCATTTGATTGGCAGATAATCATTATATAATGTGTTTACGCCTCAGTTCTTAGATTGATTTTAAACCGAGTTTAAATCGCATTAACAAATATTGAAGTACGATTATATAGCCGTCAATTTAAATAACCCGACCACTTGCTTCAATACAAGTTCATGTCGTTTCTAAAGAAAACGTAGTGGGGTAGAAAAATAAAAAAAGACCTTTTCTTGTAAATATTATCGACATATTGATTATAAAGCTTATTGCAAAATGTAAATTTGTATTTTAGATTTATCTATTGTGCGCCATCTTTGTGTTTGAAATTGTTAGATACACAACCTGTTATGATACAGCCGTGTCTCTTTTTATTATTATTAATTTCAAAGCCAGGTTGTTCAGGAGTATAGAATTAATGGCCGAAGGGTATGGTGCTGGCGCAATAACCGGGATATCCCGGGTTCGATTCCGTTATTCTAGACCAAGAAAGTTCCTAGCGATTTCCCAAACTGGTTTCCCCTACTCAGTGGCACAGGGCGGAGGGTTTGGCTCATCCCAAACTAAGGCTGCCTGGCTACAGCTAGCTCCGCCTGAGAACAGGCCCTAACCCAATTAACCGACATTTTAACTCCTACATCAACGATTTAATCGAAAACACTGAGTATGGTTTTAGAAATTTTAGAAGTATTTATTTCTCTTATATTGTCATATTGAATGAAATTAAATATGTTTATTTAGCCGTTCTGTGTATGAAAGATGTCAAACTAATCAGAGCCGAATCACAAAATAGTCCTCCAATTATTCAATATGGCGGCGCCCATGAAAGATAATTTCACATAGGCGGTTTTGTTTGCAAAGACAAATTTGTTTTGAAAGATAAACAGATTGGAACTCTAAAGACAGTTTACAATGGTAAAGACTGTATTGCAATATTACTCACTAGCACATATTATATATCGCTTTTACCGGAGTGGCAGAAGTTGACACTTTGCCAACTTGATATATGTGTTTACATAAAACATGTGCTTCGGGTTATTTTTACTCTGTTGTGTATACAATGCAGTAGTCCAGTCGATAAGTTCCGCCCCAAAATGATCACGTGAACGTTTTAAATGGACGGCATTTAGGGCAGTGATCTATTCTCGAAGTATGACGTAGATGGATCGCTGCGTGCAGTATGGGTCTGGCTACGAACGTGGAACGGAAAGCGGAGGTCCCATTGAAACGTTGGAGTGCACGCAAGATAACCACGGGCATTAGCCAATTGGGACATTAAAACCCCATCTTTCGGATCCACCTTGAGGTCCACCGTCTTCTCATTTACGTTCGTGCATAAGAAACATTAAAGGTTGAAATTCGATGAAAAGTAGATATACACGCCCCTATCCGTGCAAAATGGCCATCATAACGCACGTCTTTAGTCCCGTTTGTACAGAAAAATCGGACGTTAAACCCAATTTCAATTCATTTAATCAATAAATACGAAAATGTGGTATTATAACAATGTCAGCAATGTCTATTGTAGTTTCGTTTCTAGCTGCACGAAAAACAGTTTGAATATGGAGAACATCTCCATTTTCTTGGGACCTGTCATTGCTGTAGAATTAAAACTTATTTACTGTCAAATGTGAGAGATTAATACACAACATCTATGGCATTATATAACCTGGCCGAGCATTTCATGCGGATTATTATACATACAACAAGAATATGTCATATAATATTCCTTCAATCCATACGAATGACACGAGACGCTCTCAACGGGGAGGCTTTAAAACAGACATTTCTATGAGGTAAAACATAAATCTTACAGCTCACACGTAATTTTCATTGTGTAAAGACAATGTCCTGGCCTGGTAAAAAGTTGAAGTCCGCTTCAACTGTAAATTCAAATCGCAGGAACTGGAAAACAATCATTATTTGATATCATTTAATTCTGAATCAAGTTAATTTTTCCAGATGTATTAGGTAAACTTGAATAAGTTTGAGTCGACGTTGGTTTCATTGATTAAAAGCAATGTCGGAGAAAAAAACGTCTTAAAAGTAATGGTTCTGCTTCGTCTGTCAAATGGAATCTTTTGACAATTATCCCACATAGACAAACATTATTGATATTTTGTGTTTTTTCTCCGACTATTAAATAATATGATCGTCATGCTGGCGGTTCAGTTGGATGAATACACACCAATGGAGATATCCGTGCGTGTTAAAAAAAACTGTAAACGCGAAAGAGAAATGATCTTTAACGCCTACTTGCCACAATCCATGTTATTTATTGGAATATTGCTGGGTCTGAACTGTTGGTCGGAATATCCCGGTTTCGAAAACCAGTATAACAAAATATCAAATTTGAAAGCATGAAATGAAATGAGATTTAACTTTATACAATTCTACACCGACTGGGCTAACGAAGACGCTCATACGTCAACTATGTGCTATTCGGCCTACTCTTATTCAAACTGTCAAGGGTTCTTTTACGTGCATTCCAATGTCTACACGCGATCTTGGTTTTTCGTTCCATCCGCCCTGCATCACTGACAAGGGGGAACCACGCCCAAATTTGAAATGAAATGGGGTTTAACGTCCTACTGTTTTGCTCCGAACTGGGCTAATGAAGACGGGCATACGCCATACAGTGTGCTATGAGGGAAATTTTTGCCCGGACAGCGGCACTACGGCCTACTATTATATCGAAGTCCAACTGTCAAGGGATCTTTTACGTGCACGCCAATGTGTACACGGGACCTCTGTTTTTCGTCTCATCAGAGTGACTAGACAGCTGTCCTTGTCAGGCCCTCCGTCCTGCATCACTGACAAGGGGAAACCACGCCGGAAAATCTGGATGAACTTTCTCGGCCAATGCAGCGATCGAACACCCGACCTCCAGGCTAGCGAGACAGCGTCTTACCCACTTAGCCACCGTGATCCCCGCCCAAATTTGAAAGCGAACTAGCTTAATAATGATCATTACATGGTTCTTAAAATATCTATAGAAATAGAATTTATTCGTATTGAATATTTTCTACAATGGTTTTTAGCTATGATTTGAATATCAATATGTTGGGTATTTATTCTATTTTACAGGTCCATTCAAATCTGCCGGTCGAGACCTATATTTAATCAAATATATTTTGTTAATTTATTATATTTTGCAGGTCTAGTTAAAGCTGTCGGTAGGGATATATTTAATCAAACCGTTGATATAACAGTATTAGAGCAATCTGAAGAGACAATCGGTGATAAGAATCAACAGCATACAGTATTCAATGTTAGTATTGTCTTTTAGTTATCCAAAGTGACATTGGCGCTGATGTACCAGTCTTACCATTCAGCTATCGCTTCAGTTAACTATAAGTAGTGAAGTGTGTCCTGCATAAGGCATGACATGCTTACCCTTTCTTGAACATCTGATGTGACTTCTCACATTACGTTCACATAGTAGAGTTGTGTTTTGTTTATTATTAAAGGGGGAATACCACATTTCAAAAGTGCCCGTTGATAAAAGTGCATTTGTTTATACGACTTCAACACAAAGATATGAATAAATAACCTAAATAGCTTGTAAGTGACAAGGATAGGGTTGTCTGTCCAACCTCGTGGGTTTTCTCTGGGTCCTCCGATTTCCTTCCATTGCTAAAGACCCCTACGTACAAGCGAATTATTGAAATACAATTGAACCATGTTAATCCTGAAATAATCTACTACCAAATTATATTTTTGCTTAATGCATTGGTTGTGTGATTTTAGGTGATTCTACAGGATGGATTAAAATCTACAGAAGTATGTCCATACCAAAGACAATCCCCGGAAGGTGAAGAGTCAGAAAAGAAAATGGTAGAGATCTGTCCCGTAATGTCCGGCGATGTCAATTTCCAACTTAATGCGCAGCAGTTTTGTTCGGCGTTTCCCTATCATATTATATTTGACTCTGACATGTGTATAAGTCAATGTGGAACCAAAATACAGAAACTTTCCCCTGTGTTAATAACCCCTCATATAGCCATGGAAAAGGTGTTGGCGATTGTTCATCCTAAGATGGCGCTAAATATAGAAAATATTAAAAAGTTTATAAACTCGGTATTTTTTCTATCCATATGTAATTCTAACAAAGACAACCCAGAAAAAACCTTCACACTAAAAGGTTAGTATATTCTACAATCATCCACGAACCGTCATGGCTTGTTAAAAGTTATGGTAATTCCCAGTTACTGATAAGATATAGAAATTACAGGGAAAATTGGGGCGTTAACAGGTCAACAGTAATATATCGATTCTAGAAATATTTTAGCATAAGGTGGGAATGTTTAAGTTTGATGAATAATTGTGCCCTATTTAATAAAATGATTTATCTCCCTTGGTAAATCAATGATTAAACCTTTTAAAATGTCTGGCCAAACGGGGTTAGTTCGCTTTGCTTGTTTTCGATTAATCAGATTTAAGCTGCATAAAAGGTTTGAACAAAATAGCTGATAATTAAACATCATTTCAGTTAATCAGCTGTATTTAATCCATTCACTAGGTGAGATGGCCGTTCGTAATGGTTGATATTCGGAACTTAAGCAATGAAATGAAATGGGGTTTAACATCCTACTGTTCAGCTCTGAAGACGGGCATACTTTACTCAGTGTGCTTTTGGGGAATTTGTGCCCAGACAGCGGCACTACGGCCTCCTCGTATATCGAATTCCAACTGCTTCACTATGTGTACACGGGACCTCTGGTTTTCGTCTCGGTCAGCGGCGCCACGCTTATATCGCATAAGGGTTGTTTATGTACATCTCCATGTATACGCGGGGACCCTGTTTTTCGTCCTATCAGAACGACTATACGTTGTCCCTTGCCAGTCCCTCTGTCCTGCACCATTGACAAGTTGGAACCACGCCGGAAAATCACGATGAACTTTCTCGGTCAATGCGACCACGCGACCTCCAGGTTAGCGAGCCAATGTCAATCCGCTGAGCCACCGTGGCTCGGAACTTCTAGGAATATCCAGAAACAATGACGGTTATTTCAAAGAGATAGCGATAAGCTAATTTATTACCAATAATCACAGGAACTTGTCGAAATATCGAGATATCTAATCGAGCTCACCGGAAGTAGATTCTTGGCACCCAAAAATATAAAAGTTTTTATTGGGATGTTTAATTTATATTTTAAAGGTCAGATGATTTGGTTGGAAGATTCAGGTCACATGATTTTTATAGGATCACCTCGAATAACCAGTCTTAATGAATTGATGGATATGAATGTTTATTTATCCGATATACCTTTATATGATGTCACGAGAGAATTAGTTCTTTTAAATCAACAAAGGATAGCAGAGATTGATGTCGCGTGAGTACCATTTTCTTAGATCTTTCAAAATAAACTTTAAATCGGAGAGTGTTTAACAGTCACAGTTTTATTTATCTTGGTATCCTGGTTTGTCTCTGAGGTACAAACTCGAGCTACCCTGCTGCTAGAACACTAATTTCATTTTGATGTTTTAGGAAAAAATTAGACGAAACAACAGTGGAGTTAAAGAAGACATCAAAAGCTTTAGAATGTGAAAAAGAGAAAACGGACATGTTGTTATACCAGATGTTACCACAGAAAGTTGCTAATCAACTTAAAAACGGAAAACAGGTTGAAGCTGGTAAGTATTCGTAATTATAGCTCACCGAGTAAGACGTTGGCTCGAGATTTTCCAGGCGTGGTTCCCTCTTGTCAGTGGTGCAACACGAGGGGGCTGGTAAGAGACAACGTATAGCCGTTCGGATAGGACGAAAAACTGAGTTCACGTGTATACATGGACATGTACATAAAACAAACAACCCTTCGCAGTTAGAATTCGCTATAAAAGTAGAGCCAGTGCCGGACTGGGCCCAACTGTCCACCTGTCGGGCCTAAGCTCATTTAAAAAAAGTGGGCCTAAGCCTATAAAGAAAAAAAAAGAAAGAAAAAAAAGAAAAGAGAAAGAAAGGAGAGGGGGGGGGCTGGAGAAAAAAAGAAGGAAGGAGAGGACAGGACACATGACAAGAGAAAAAAAAATTGCCTTCTTCTGCTTTGGTCTGAAATGCTTGGAAAATGGGTTTGCGGTTGTCAATTTTCAAAATTTTCAAAATTTTCCAGGGGGGAGACCGCCCCCCCCGACCACCCTCGGACGTTCGCGTGCCTTCGGCGTGCTCGTGACGCGCCTTCGGCATGTACTTGTTTGGGCTTTGGTCAATGACCTGACAGGTAGGCCTTCGGCCCACCAGTCCGGCACTGAGTAGAGCCGCTGTCAGGGCGAAATTTGGCCCATAGTACTATGTATGGCGAGTTCTTCAGTATAGCTCAGAACAGTAGGACGTTACGTAGCTTGGTTTAGATATAAAGTTGACATGTAACACAAAGACCAGTGACGTGTTTACTTTAGTGTGTAAGCATACCCTGTATGATGCACATGCTAATTCAAACTAGTAACAGCTATGTGATATCTGGTGTCTTAAGAGATTAAGAATGACGTGTTTATAAACAGAAATTGGAGAACGAGTTAGGTCTATGTCAAACGTGTAATATGTGATAAACCATTTCCAGTAGCGAGCTAGTGCCATACCCTCTGACCCACATTCAATGAAAAGAGTAAGTAAAATTAAAAGGAATGAGGTTTAACATCCTACTGTTCAGTTACGACTGAGCTAATGAAGACGGACAATACGCCATACAATGAATAGCGGTGCTACAGCCTACTTTTATATTGAATTCCGTCTGCCAATGGTTCTTTTACGTGCACGTTAATGTGAACACAGGACTGTACGTTGTCCTTCTCCAGGCCCTCTGTGATGCACCACTGACAAGACCGCAAGGGATCGAACACGGGGGGGGGGGGGGGTGGGGGGTGGATGGCTGAATGGTTAGCGTGCGCGCGCTGTATCATAAAGTCTGTCATTGAGTGGACTAGCGTGGTTTCGAATCCCCGGTTGTACGTGACAAGGAGTAGGGTCGCCTGTCCAACCTCGTGGGTTTTCTCCGGGTCCTCCGGTTTCCTCCCACTGCTAAAGACCCCTACGCGCAAGCGAATTATTGAAATAAAATTAAAATCATGTTAGTCCCGAAATGACCTAGTTTGTGTCGAGTGGACGTTAAACCCCATTTCTCTCTCTCTCTCCCCAAGTTATCGAGCCAATGTCTTACTCACTGAGCCACCGCAGCTCCATAAAAAGAGAAGGCATATTCAGTCCCAGGTGATGCACCTGGCACCATTCATTAAAAGAGCAAGCATACTCAGTCCCAGGTGCTGCACCTTCCACCATTCATTTTTGAAATACCTATGTTGAAATATTATTATGTTTATTACAGAGAAGTATGACCAGGTTACAATATTATTTAGTGATATTGTAACATTTACCAGTATATCAGCTGCATGTTCACCATTAGATATAGTCAATATGCTAAATGATTTATATCAAAGATTTGACGAGAAGACAACCCAACATGGCGTCTATAAGGTATGTCAGATTTAACATGGTAGAATAAAAAGACATACAGTCGGATCCAGCAAGAAATAAAGAATTATTATAATCCTTTGGGTGAATTAGTAATAAGTAAGCAATAACCGGAACATCCAAAAATATTGAACTGCGCTTGATTTTTCGCCCCAGAATACTCCTAGATTCAACCACCTTGAGTTATAGCTATTGCTTGAGGAATGAGAGGGGTAAGAAGGATGTAAATATGTGGTTGCCATGGTTTCGGATATCTGACGATGCCCAGATTGTTCTGTCATGTAGTAATTTCAGTTTACATACTACTGAATTGATCGCGGAGGATTCCCTTTGGTACCCGAAGTGTGAGAGAGAGAGAGAAATGGGGTTTAACGTCCACTCGACACAAACTAGGTCATTTCGGGACTAACATATGGTTCAATTTTATTTCCATAATTCGCTTGCGCGTAGGGGTCTTTAGCAGTGGGAGGAAACCGGAGGACACGAAGAAAACCCACGAGGTTGGACAGGCGACCCTACTCCTTATCACATACAACCGGGGAGTCGAAACCCCGCCAGTTGACTCAATGACAGACTTTATGATACAGCGCGCACGTGCCAACCATTCAGCCATCCAACCCCCCGGTAGCCAAGTAACTGATTTGATTCCAGACAGGAGCATCCTGCAACACGAGGTTTAACATTACCATATTCTAAAAGTTTTAAATGACATTTATAAGTTGAGATTTCACCACACCCTAAATCTAAGTACTGTGTTGACCACGCATTAAACCTCATTCTTCATTTATAGGTAGAAACAATAGGAGATGCCTACATGGTGGTATGTGGTGTACCAGAAAGATCAACAAATCACGCCGCTCCTGTGGCGAGATTCTCTATAGACATGTTATTAGAATCAGCTCAGGTGAAATCCCCTGCTACAGGTAGACCATTACAGGTGAGAAACTAACATACTGTAAATGCTTTGCCTATATATAATGTATTACTTGAAAATGTACATCCTACCCACGAGAAGCAAATTAATATAATCCTACTTGACTTGTGTTTGAATCTTATTCTTAATGCCTTTAAATTGTACAATAATTTCGAAATAAATACGGTTTAAACAATAACACACTTTTAACCCCATCTTGTCATGTATGGGCTGCATTATACACACAAATGTTGAAAAAAAACGCATTCTGTATAACAGTTGTCATCTTTTATTGATAAGTCATCCTGAAACACTGTGACATGTTCCTGATTACTCTGTTACACGTGTATGTTTAAAAAATGAGGTGAATAATACCCAGACAGCAGCCACAATACTAGTCATTACTGGTAATGCATTCTGTTTGTTTGACACAAAAAGATCTCCGCATGTCAGCGTTTCACGTATTTTAAGAGCAAAAAAAAAAAAAACATACACAAAACAAACCATTAACACTACTACGTCATGTCAATCAGGAACATACAAATGGCCTATAATGGTACAATATTATTAATATGTCGTACTGCATCCGGTAATCAATGTAAAGGTATTGATTGTATAATGGAGTTGATGTGACTAGTCATTCGTTACCCACTATCTTCTCGCATTATTGTCTTTGTCATTAATATTTTTTATGAATTGTTTTAAAAAGACATACAAAGTGCACAAGTGCACAAATGCGTATATTGAATGAAATGGTGATTAAATAATAGGTAATTAGAAATTGAGCTTTTATCATTAAATGTTACTCATTTTATCGTTAGCTTACCAATCATTAACGTTCTTGGATTCCGTTGCATTATCTTATCAGTGCGAAACTTTAATCAGAAATATTTTTTATATTTTATATTTAGACTATTAGTTGAAATTTTAAACAACAAGTCAGATGTTTTAAAGGTCAAAAATATGTACCACTTTAAGGAAAGGCTGGTGTTATAAATGTAATCAAGCACGTTTATATGATGGTCGAATCACAGGAAGTCGGTGGAGCGCAATGGAGGGCTACGAGATGGTCGTTTACTGTAAACAAATCGTGGATCACAAGCACAAACGTAATAAATAAAATGGGGTTTAACGTCCTACTGTTCTGCTCCTATACTGGGCTAATGAAGACGGGCATACGCCATACAGTGTGCTATGAGGGAAATTTTGCCCGGGCAGCGGCACTATATCGCCTACTCTTATTTCGAATTCCAACTGCCAAGGGATCTTTTACGTGCATTCTAATGTATACACGGGACCTCGGTTTTTTCGTCTCATCCGAAGGACTAGACAGCTGTCCTTGTCAGGTCCTCCGTTCGCACCACTGACATGGGGAAACCGCGTCGGTAAATCCCGATGAACTTTTTCGGCCAATGCATGTGATCGAACACCCGACCTCCAGGCTAGCGAGCCAGATTCTTAACCACCTAGCCACCCTGGGTCCCTAAGCGAAAACGCATGTGCATGTGATCGAACACCCGACCTCCAGACTAGCGAGCCAGATTCTTAACCACCTAGCCACCCTGGGTCCCTAAGCGAAAAAAGTGTTATGCCACTTAAGTCACGAAGGCTTAAAGCATCCATTAAACTTATTAACGACATAGTATAGATATATTCTAATTACAGATACGAATTGGAATTCATACTGGTCCTGTAGTAGCTGGCGTTGTGGGAAGGAAGATGCCTCGATATTGCTTATTTGGTGATACAGTTAATACAGCCTCTCGAATGGAAAGTCATGGTCTTCCAGGCAGGATTCATATTAGTCCGACTACGCATCAGTAAGTATTAGTCCCAATTAGCTAGTGTCTGGCAATGGTACCTTGATATCAATTTACTGAAGATGATGACGTTTTGTGACCTTGCCAAAATGTCACCGGCGTGTGGCGATACTAACTTTTTTATGTTCTTGCTACAATACCGCAGAATCAATATTAAGGATTACTTTTAGAAATTACACATTTAACTGTGATTGGTTTGTAAATCGCTGGTTTATCTTTAATACTTAACGGCAAAATAATACATCGACGTCTTTCTTTTGGTTTGCTTTTTTGTCAGATATTATATAAATAATTTTAATGTGCATATTTCCAGGGCTTTAAAAACCAGTCGATTTCTTGTAAAAGAAAGAGAAGAAATAAATGTGAAAGGGAAAGGAAAAATGACGACACATTTCTTAGTTGGCGAAAAGTCAATGATAACAGAACCTCAGGATAAGTATTGTAAATTAAAAGCGAAAGAAACAGACAGTGTTAAATCTACCGGTGCTAGAATTATTTATGGACAAATGGATCCAAGTATTAATGAAAGTAAAACATGTTCGGTTCAGTAGACAGCATCATTGACAAGAAAGCATGAAACAACGCCCACATGGATAATCCAAAATATGAACAAAGTCGTTCACAACGACATGGGTATAGATGACACAGCCAACCCAGAATGTGCACCGGAATGACAAAGTCCTTTCACAACGACATGGTGCCCATGGGTATACATATAACATGGTCTTCAAGTTAGAAAACCCTTTTGTGACCAGTGCACTATATTTTTTTTATATTATACTATACATATATAACTGACGATCAAAAGAAATATATATTAGAATATTTTTTCAGAATATTTTTTTACAAAGTAATCAAGATGACCAATACATAAAACCCTAAATATTTGCTCGGTATTCACATGGGACGAAAGGCATCTATGAAACACTAGAGGGTCAGCTGAAACGTTCATTTTTATTAATGATTAATGAGAACCAATGCATCAGCTAAATGATGATAATTAATAACTAAACATACACCTTTTGGGTGTCCATTACTGGAAGCAGGTCTAGGGGAGATAACCATTCAGTAACAAATTCTTTAAGGTCACCGGTCAACATTTGCATTTTATTGACAAAATCTAATTTTTTTCACGGCTTAATCCAAGCTAAATGTACCCAATTTGATCATTTAAAATTTAATTATGAACAAAAAAATCAAAATACCAACGGTAGATAAACACCCGACTTGGGGATTGAGCTGGATGAAAACGTCGACCGACATTTTAAGTCCTAAATCGACGATTTTTATCGAAAACACTAAGTACACTTCGAGAATTTTGAGAAGTATTTATTCTGCTTCTATTTAATGCAATTGCATAGGTTTATTTAGTCTCTGTGTGTATGTCAGATGTGAAACGGAGTAGAACCGCATTACAAAACAAAATACTAATTTTAGGATATGGCGCCCATTCAGGACAGGGATTTATTCTCGAAGTATTAAGTAGATGGATCTGTGTGTACAGAATGATGACGACCAGAGAAGTGCATTATTTTGATATATTGACTACCTCTTTCAAAGGTTTACCCGTGTCAATTTCCTTGTTCAGTTAGGAGACAAATGAAACGGAATAGGGTTTAACGTCCTATTGTTATGCTCCGACTGGGCTAATGAAGACGGGCATACGCCATACTGTGTACTATGAGGAAATTTTGGCGGGGCAGCGACGCCAGGGTCTACTCTTATATCTAATTCCAACAATGTGTACACGGGACCTCGGGACCTCGGTTTTTCGTACCATCCGAAGGACTGACTATACGTTGTCCCTTGCCAGGCCCTCTTTCTTCACCACTGGCAAGGGGGACCCACACCGCAGGTATCGAACACAGGACCTCAAGATTAGCGAGCCAACATCTTACTCACTGAGCCACCATGGTTCCCAGACATGAACACTTAAAATTTGATACCTGCCCTATTTGTAACTATATGTATTTATTAGTGATTTAATATTTACATGTTGTACATAATTGTTAATGTATATGTCATTAAATTGTATTTACTGGTTTACTTGCCTTCATAGATTCAATTACGGTAACACATATCTTTGACCGTACAATACTTTCCTATCTTTTGTATACGGTCATTGTTAGCGGAGCTATTATATATATATATATATAAGTTACCCCTTGGCAGACGTTCAACAACGCAATAGAAAATGAAATGAAATGAAATGGGGTTTAATATCTTACTTTTCTGATCCGATTGGGCTAATGAACATAATATGCCATACAGAGTGCTATGGGGAACATTTTGCCAGGTCTTCTCCTATATCGACTCACAGGCCTACCCAAGGTTAGCGAGCGACGGCGGTCCCTCAACACCACAGAGGAGGGTGTTCCACACATATAGGGGAGCGTAACCCGGTGAACATTTTGCACGACGAAGGCAAAACAATTTATCTTTGTTGCTTTACAAACAATATTGCACTCAAAATATATAGCTAAGGGAAAATGTAGTCATTAAAGGGTGTGATGTATTGGTTATCACTACGACACACTACATTTTACTTTTTTTTTTATTGATTAATATGTACTGAATACATATACGATAACAAAATAATATAATTAAAATACTAAACACCAGCAAATAAAATAAAGAACAAAGAAACCCAAGTTACTATTAATAAATAAATGTAGATGAAGGAAAACAGGGGTATGATGGACAGTGGTATATGAAATGAACTATTATATGAAATTAACTATAGGTTTAATGGCTCTGTGACACATAACATAATATCTACATGATGAAATGAAATGGGGTTTAACGTCCTACTGTTTTGCTCCGAACTGGGCTAATGAAGATGGATCTACATGATGACCTTCTTACAAGGAATATTGAATAAATTATAAAGCGATGATAAGTATAAGTGATGTTAACTACCTTATGTGACTTCTCTGATTGTATTATAAACCAAGATGTCATTTGATTTGATAGGGAGTGTTTAATTATATCATCTACCAGAAACTAATTACATATGAAATGTTGATATCTACATAATAATCTTATCACAGAGAATATTGAACACATTATACGGTGATGGTGATTGATGACGGGTATGTTACTATTATAAATCAAGATGATTTTTTTAGGGTGTGTTAAATAATATTTGCTACTATAAACTGAATCGTCATTGTACAGGTAGATGTTCGAACGAACATCGGACCATCACGATTTGATGTGAATATATCTCCACACAATAACAAATATATAAGGCCAACTTGGGGAATCTCCCTTTTTTATGTGATATTTACAATGTAGCTTATTTTTATGACAATTTTAAAAAACGTAATGGTTGTCTGATGATTTTATCCACCCACAATAAGAGGCGTTACAATATGAATCAAGTATGAACAAATGGAAAAAACAATTTAATGAAGACGAAAATGGCTCTCCGCAACGGATAATTATACGAAAATGAATCTTATACATTACAAAGGTGGTGTAGAACGCTCTCTAAATGTTAGCTAGTAGGCTACGTTATTCAAGTGAAGGGGCAATCCGTCTAACACGCGCCCCACCACCCGTCCCAATTTGGTCGTCAATTTTGTATACATGTACTAGATGCTTCCAATAACTGCCTTAATTAATCAAAATGAGCCGGTCAACGATGAAAGTCTGCGATTTTTGTTTCTCATCGCCCCTCTCGGAAATTCGATATATGCCACTGCCTCCAAGGGTAATAATCGTAATTGAAAACTTTGGATCGGCAAAATGTTATGATTATTAAGAAAGTTAAAGTCTTGTAGAGAGAGCAGAAAGCATTGTACATCAACCAAACATAATTACATCAACAATACAATAAATTAATTGACTTGGGGTTTAGAAGAACACCAAAAATTATACATACAATATGTACTTACTATGCATTGTAGTTGCATGGACATGGACACAAAAAGTTGACATACGGAACAATACACAAATTACAAGAATAAAAATGTAACTAAAACAAGATGATTTTAATTATCCCGGAGAGCCATATATAAAGCCAACAATACACTGTTCGACTTACTGAAGTGACCAAAGGCCGATACCATGCTTTCTTGAAGTTATTCAAAATTTAAGTTACAGTATAGAAAACGACCAGCGCTTGCAGAAGTGGTATCCGATGATCTAGAAGTTAAACAATTTCAGTAATGGACCTGTGTTTCATTGGCTTTATAATCTGATACAGAATACATTGTAATAAATTTAGAATTTATTATTATCATTCATTATGAAATACCTTTCCTTGAGTTCCAACTCTGATCGATCTAGTACATTAATATATTGATTATTTTATTTTGAAATTTAAACTAGAAACATACATTATATTTTGTTTCGTCCATTGTTATACTTAATATTTTTTGTAGTTGCCAAAATAATATTTTATTAAAATAATTACTATGCTAAATAAACGAGATATATATATACTAGATTTACGATCAATGGAACAAAATCATTACCTTTGTTTAAAGATTAATCTTCAGAAGACTTCTATTCATATCATTATAAATAATAGAACAGTTATATCTGAGCTTTTGTATTCACAGTTTAATTAAACTATGGATGGACCAAAACGTCCCTTCGTATCCTCAAAGTGTTTAACGTCGTGCGTGCTACCACGTGTGGGTTTTAGGTGATGACAGAATCAGATCACCAACAACTTGTTTTCGCTACAGATCACCAAAAAGGGGTTTAGATCACCAACTGCCTGCTCAAGATCAACAAGAATCTGTTTCAGATCATCAGAAACCTTTTTTTTAGATAAACAGAATCCATCTTTATCGCCAAAAATCTGTTTTAGATACCACTGAGCCTGTTTTAGACTACCAAGAAATTATCTCCAGTAATCGAGAAATCACAAGCGCTATTTGGTCGTAAAGTAGTCTTTAAACGGGGCAATTTACATATTCCCAACGATCTTTATGATCCTATAAAAGTCTTTAACGGTTTCATTTATAATACATTCATGGAAAGACTACCGAATGTTTTACGTACATTGCCAGTTTTGTTTTTGAAGTGTTGAGCAATTTCATTAACAGCACCCTGGGTATATTGTATCTTGGTAATCGAAAACGTTCTTTGTTTTGTCGATACCCCACACCTGTCCGTTGTTAAACACAAAGGTTGTACAAAAGGTTGTTAAGGGCTATTTGGTGTGAATCTGTAATCACACACTAGCTCCATATTCCAGCAAATCGTCAAAGATCGCTTCTACCAGAGAACCCTTGCACAGAATTTACCGCTTCACCCCAAGAGACACACTCTCGGTTGCATTACCATAATACATATTAAAAATACAATACGTATCATACAAAACCATTAACCATATGTTAAAGATGCATTATGTAACATTTAGATAAAAAAAAACTGGTCGTTCTAGCTATACTAGTTTTAAAAAGATAATGCAAAATGGATATAATTGAAAATTTCATTCAAATTACTATATTCTGGGCTGTTTGATGATATAGCGTAGATTGTGCATCATCGTAGCAACGGTTATGACAGCGGTAATTTCATTCAAATTACTTTATTTTGAGCGAAGTTATTACTGTTTAAGGTCTAAACAAGATGTTTACTTTCATGGCAACGGTACTTGTTAATCGAGACATAGCCTCGATTCACCATTTTAAAATTATTTCATTAAATGGCGGTGGTGTTTCAATCCGTTTAAATCTCCACCATCCGGTCGCCTAGAGAATTGATTATATACTTGTCATTCTAAATAACAGTTTATAATTATAACACTTGAAACCAAAATAAAGACCTACAATAGGCAGATTTAGCTTTTACATAATGCATCTTTAACAAAAGAAAAAAATATACAATTTAAAAGATATTCATAATATAATACCTCGTAATTAATTAATACAATACCTAGCAATTAAATAATACAGTACCTCGTAAATAAATGTACCGTTTTTATTTTTCTAAGGACGGTCTAAAGCTTGATAGCAATGTTTACGCAAAAGTGGCGTCATCCCTGGAACCCAATATTCTGAACTATTACAATATTGTTGAAAGCCAATTTTTTTAGTAAGAAGTCTACAAGCTGGATTTGTGATAAAAAAATGAATTCTAAAATTTTAATTCTATAATATAATCACTTTAAACAAGCTTCAAAACTGTGAACTTCCACAAAATTGAAGTATGATTTCAATGTGTATTGAGAACCACGCATTCGGTCTCTTTTTCAAAGCTTAATCAAAAGTTTATTTATATTTATAATACATAGTTGAAATATCTGACAATCAGTTATATCATTTTGCTTCTGAATTTGGTACTCATGTTTGGGTAGTGAGAGGGGGATATTAACTGAGAGTTCCCAAACACACACACAACACACACAACACACACACATATTTACACACTAAACAATATGTTTATACAGATAAATAATGGTCAGGCTGACCCACGTTTGTACATATATTCAATTTATAAACAATGAAACCAGTAAAAGTAAATTTAGTAATACTCAATAAAGTATGATTATTAATTAAAACAGTACTAGAAAGAAATGGAAACTTATCTGTGTATTGACAATGTACGTATATTTACAATGTACAATGAAACATCAGTTCTACTCAATAAAATATTGTTTATAAACAAATCAGTACTAGACAGATATGAAAACTTATTTGGTGTCAATAGAGTCACTTTAACTTAAAATAATAGTTAAATTCTTGTTAAATTAAATTGAACGTAAATACAAATAAAAATTCAATTTTTTATGATTTTTTAATCAACTGGGTTCAAAATGAACATTTTTGACCCAGTCAAATGACGAGAATTGCATTAAAAGGCCCAATTTCAATATCTCATTTTCAGTTATGAAATTCAAAATAGTATATTAACAAACTAATACACTACATTCTTAACTTGGTCTAAAAAAAGGGGCATTTAATAAAAATTTATTTCGTAAAAAAAAAGAGGATAATGTTAAAGAAACTAGAATCTATACAAAGACAAGAAATTGTGTTTCACAGGAGATGTGAACAACATATTGTATATGTAACAAAGTGCAGAATATTGTCTCTTTGTTACATCTGTTACATACAGAATAGTCACAAATAGAATTGTCACATATAGAATTATACACACTACAAAATAAAAGTTCCACAATAATTTCCACTATAATAATTTTTTCCACTACATAATAATGTTTTCCACACTACATAATAATGTTTTCCACAGCATAATAATGTTTGGGGTTTTTTTTTCAACTTAATAATGTTTTCCACTACATAATAATATTTTCAACTATAATTATGTTCGCGTGTAACACCTTCACAAGTAGTAGTTTGTTTACAATTCGCGAAAGTGTTATCTAAACGATATTGGTCACATAAAATCCGATAAAAACATTTGGCACACAACGCAATAAAATCTATATTATTTTGTTTAGAAAAACAAATATGTTTCACTGAAATTGTCTTCTTAAAGTCACGTTGGTCTAAGGACCACCATTACATCAGTGATAATGCGTAGTTCTACAGTTTCTACGAGTATATATTCTTGTTTCCAACTGAATTGATCAACCGTATCTCTTCCTGGCTCAAAACCGAAACACTACTACAAGGTTACGCACAGCTAAATTAGACATTCCAGAACAACTCTTGCACCAAAAAACGACGACGATATGGATTCTATCTACATACACGAGACAGACACAACCACATGAAATATTTTAATCAGGACGAAAGTTATGTTTGATAACATCCTACTGGAACTTCCATTGACACAAAAGCAGACAGCAAAACTGTATTTCAGGACGAAAAATAGACGAAACATGAAATAGTATAATATACTAATCCATTAAAATTACCCGAAATAAATATTCCAGTTGTATCTGAATGTGTGTTTTGGGATTTTCTTTTGATCAGTGCAAAGAAAAATATTGGAGTAGATAGAATAATAAATGTGCCAATACGCAGGTAATAGATGTTGGTAATTAGCAGTAGATAGATCTTGAATCAACTGATTGATAATACTGATAAAACAAGAGATGGAGAACATTAGATCTAACAACATTATACCTGATTTATAACAGTCGATCTTACACTAACCAGACTCATCTCCTTCTTCTATTTCACTTATTTGTGGCACCCTAGAGCTAGGAACATCACACTCTAGATTAAATATTGGTACCTTAAGCTTTCGAAGATCTATTGCTGTCCCATTTTCAGTGGAACAATTATCAGTTGTCGTGTCGACTTGCCAACCCAGTGCAGCCTGGGTGTAACCAAAACAACTTGCCCCTACTTTATTTTCTTCTGTAGAGTCGTTATGACCATCCACATCACTTTCTGTCACGCTTTCGCCATCTTCAAGATCGGCGTCTTGGGTGAGTGGCGACAAAACATTAGGACTGCTAGTATGATATCCCTCGTCTTTTAAACCATTTGGCTTTAATCGCGTATGCCAATTTTTGATTATCTGTTCAGATTTTGCTCCATCATGCAAATGACTATTACTAATTTCTGTTTCATTTGCTATGACCGGGGTCAATTTAGAGCTGTCTTGTTCGACATTAATCTTTACATCATCTTCAGTATCCAGTTCCATAACCTGTATTTCTGGCAATTCACTAATTTCCCTTTGAAACCTGTAAATAATAAGAGTAACAATCATGTTATAAGTTTACATCCTATATTATTATCAAAGTAGAAATAATACACAATGGGCATATTACTATACTGTCTATATACAATGGGCATATTACCATACTGTCTATACTGTATACAATGGGTATAGGACAGTGTTAACCGAACTGTCTATATACAAGGAATATATTACATTGTTAACCGGGCTGTTTATATACAATGAATATATTACTGTACAGTGTTAACCGGACTGTTTATATATACATTGAATATATTACTGTGTTAACCGGACTGTTTATATACAATGAATATATTACTGTACAGTGTTAACCGGACTGTTTATATATACACAGAATATATTACTGCGTTAACCGGACTGTTTATATACGATCAATATATTACTGTACAGTGTTAACCGGACTGTTTATATATACAAGGAATATACTGTGTTAACCGGACTGTTTATATACAATGAATTACAGTGTTAACCTGATTGTCAATATACAATGAATATATTACAGTGCTAAACATATGACATAATAATGAACATGTTACACTGTTACATTGTTTAACCAGAATATCTAGGCAATGATTAAATTATACCAGACTGTCTATGCAATGACAACATTGGAAATAATGAGAACAATACGTATAGTATCTAAATGTATTACCTTGATCGGTGCTGTATCAATTCAGCGTTAAGATGTCTGTAAAAAGCGATAAAGTAATGTTAATAATATAAACACATAATTCTTACGTCTGATCAATAACGGTTGAAAATTGAGACTACATGAAGAGTACATCCAAATATTTATTTATTAAATGTAGGAATTCTCAATCTACAAGTACGTCGTAGACGTAGTACAACGGGCTCTAAATGCCTATTATATAACACGCTTTGTGTATGTGGGGGGGGGGGGCGTGTGTGTGTGTGCGTGTGAGTGTGTGCGTGTGTGAGAGAGAGAGAGAGAGAGAGAGAGAGAGAGAGAGTATGAATGTATTGGTAACAGACAGGCAGTCTGAGCAATGCTTTGCTACGTAGCTCCAGCCCCACGCAATCTTTAATGACAATAAGATTCACAGAGTAAACAAAATTCATTTCTTACGAATATGTTTTTAACTAGTAATCCAGTGCAATTTACCTTAAAGAACGATCAGTACGAGGTGGTAATAAGGAGGATGGAATTCGTACATGCTGTACCATGTTAGGCTTGTTTTTCGCTATGCTTACTTCTTGGTGAATTTCAGGTGATCGTCTATATAAAATAAATACAGGTGTAATTATGGCAGAAATTGGTTTCATTGGTTCTTTTGTTTTATTACACTTAGAAGAAATTTCTGCTTTTTTTTTTGGAAATTTTTTTTTTTCAAAACAGTACGCCTTATAGCTTTCAAAACAGATATAATTACAAAGCAATAAAACAATATTTGTTATCATTTGATACAAATTGTTACTTAATTGTTTACCCACCTGGCATCATTTCTGGTACTTGAGGTTAAATGTTTTAATATCTAAAAAAGAAAGTAGATATTCACATCACGTAGAATAAAGACAGAAAAGGAATAGAATTGGGAATTCACCGTAACGTGATATGAGGGATCTAGGATAGTCTGTGATCTTGTTAGAATGTGATTTCATTGCGATAGTACAGGAATGTAGTTTATTCTCTGGTCAACGCTATATTTGGTCATATTGAGACTAACAAACGACCAGAGCTCCAATGCTCGGTAAAATAGTTTTGCCTGAAACTCTTTTTTTTTATTTCAACAGGGATATTCTACGTGGTCAGTTGAACATTTTACGTAAATCATTTGATCATGACGTTGATAATAAAGCTCTCAAAAATAAAATTAAAATTCAATTTCCTCTCCGCTGCTTACCTCCTCTTGAAATTTAACTTTACATTTTTCTCTTGCTCGGTCTAAATTTTTCAGTTCACTTTCTAATTTCGTCAATTTTACTACTCCATCTTCGTACCTCCTGAAAAATACAATTAACTGTGTTGCTAAATCTACGTTATGCATAATTCTTATTGGGGGGTTGGATGGCCGAATGGTTGTACGTGACAAGGAGTAGGGTCGCTTGTCCAATCTCGTGAGTTTTCCAGGGTTTCCTCCCATTGCTAAAGATCCCTACGCGCAAGCGAATTACTGAAATAATATTGAACCATATGTTAGTCCCGAAATGACCTGGTTTGTGTCGAGTGGACGTTAAACGCCATTACGTCTAGAGCATCCCCGAGGTTGCCCAGTGAGTAATGCAGGTCCGATTTGGGGTTTCCGTGTTTGCCGAGAAAGTTTTGCAGCATGATTCCGCATGATGGCCCGACAAGGAACAGCGTATAGTCATTCGGATAGGACGAAAAACCACGGTCCTGTGTACACAATGGCGCGCACTTAAGATAAACCTGAACAGTCGGAATTTAATTGCTGTTTCGACAAAAAATTCCCCAGTAGTATACTGTATGAGGTATATCAGTCTTCATTTGCCAGTTTGGTGCAGAAAAATACGACGTTAAACCCCATATCATTCATGTTGCGATCATGAAAGGTTGATTCCGGTGATACATAAAAGTGGTGGTTAGACAGAGTAATAATATATGGTGTATGTAATTCAATCAAATTTATAATCCATAAATACAAAATGGTAAATTATTAAAGACAGATCACGGTGGTCGTGGACAGGAAAGATAAAAATATAATCCACAATATATTCCCATCATATTGACAATCTGTACGGCTTCAGGAGTCCCAAGGCCCACTGTCCACTATAACTATTAGTAATAACTTTTCTTCAAACGACGATTGGATTACACCACGAGGTGAGGTTATATCACTGGTCGTTATCGAAGAGGCTGCTTTATAGAAAATTAGGCGATGGACTGACAACATAAGGGTGGAGGCGATGGACTGACAACATAAGGGTGGAGGCAATGGTGGGACGTAAAATAACATATGGCTTAAACAATAATCATATAACATGCGCAAAACATCAAGTACGCGGTATAACTTACTTTTTACATCTTTCATACTCCTTTACAGAATGTTTTCTTTCAGTAGCACAGGGAGTTTGCCATAGATAAACACAACGTGCTGTTAATTCTTGTAACTCTGATCTATAAACACACAAACACATATTAATAATAATAATTGTAGCACTGGAATTCCATCAAAGTTATTATATACTTTACGTTCAAATAAAAAAAAACAGGATTTAAAAGATCCGGGAAAATCTAAAATGTTTTAATACTTATTATGTGGTTGAAATTCAGAAAAAGAGAAATAATTGCTACATTGCCTTTGACATAAAAACAATAATCCGATTCTTACCTGTCTGCAGAATGTTGCAGTTGTTCTATTTCCGTCATATTCAATTTTCTCCTATCCTGCATTCGGTTTAAAATATCTTTAGCCTTCCCGAACAGAGTACCCACCAATGTACACCAATGATTATCCAACATAACCGGTGGAGTACACCAGACCTCCTCATACTGGCATGTTGTTAGTTGTCCTTTAATTTTCTTCAGTTTTTCATAAAACTAAAACATATTTAAACACTATAAAATTTCCATAGATAAAAACGTATTTGTAGTCTTGTGTTTGAAACCATAAAATGGTATTAAGAACGTGTAATTAGGAAAAATTTGATTTATAGTAGCTATCCGAGAAGTGGAGATAGGAACAAGGTTAAGAAATGTCTGAAATTTGTGTAAATTTTTGTTTTATAAAATTGTATGATATTATGTCGAGTTTAATGCTCCATATCAAGCAATCGATAGGGATTTGATGTTTCAGAAATACAAATAAAATTATGAAATACAAATTTGAGGAAGACGCAATAAGACTTTCCCTTAAACGTCTAAGTTGTATCAACTTACCTCTGTTAAAACCTGGAACTTAAAGATTTTATTCATTCGTGAGGTCCTGCCATTTTGAAGATTACTATCAGATGACGATTTGATTAAATCTAGATAAATTTCAAGTTGTTGATAGCTATCATTCCATAACTGGTATATCTTTACCATACGAGTGTATTTTTGCTGAAGATCCGACCTGACAAGAGAAATCACAAATTATTTACATATTATGTTGAATAAAGACAGTTAAGCAATGTATTTGTTTGCCGATTAACATCTTTATTAAATAAATCTTCATAATGCTGGCGGTTCAGTCGCATTAATAAACACATAGTAATGTCGGTTATATCTGGATATTTGATAATTACCTTCCATTTCCATTCTGTGTATTTATTTTGTATACCGACCTTATGCTGGTGGTTCAGTTACGTGAACAAACAACATTTGTGATCGGTGTGTGTGTGTGTGTGTTTTCCAACGGCACATTTCAATTCACGCAAAATAATTACTCTTATGCACCAAATGTTATATTTGAAAGATAGATTACTTCACACAAGACACAAGAAAAATCAAACTTGTTTAAAATTGTAAACAATGTAAACTGGATTTATTAAAGATTGTAAACAATATTAACATGACTTAATAAAATTGACAATGCTTAAATAACCTCAGTTGTTTGTTTTGTAATATTTAAGAGACCGTTCTTAAATGTGTTTCCAACTGTTGAACAACAGATTTACGTCCCTTGGCCTTGATGTGAAGTATCCATCCTTTGCGATTCAGTGGCCATCGACCTTTTCTGGTTTCCAAGAATATGAACAGAACTATAATAAACAGGAATTATACAGATGTGTATAATAGTTCGTTTTGCACACATTCTTTCATTATTTGTAAAACTAAAACAGTAATTGGATTTTAAACTCACCATAAAGTAAGAGAAAAGTTGGATGAACCTTTAATAGCAGCTTCTGCTTCCTTCATTTTCTTAAATATATTATTTATTGTATCACACTGACTCGTGGCTACTTGAATATCCCCAGACATGGATGACATAATATTAAAACTATCATAGGGTTCTGAAAAAAGGCAGATTGATTCTCAAAAATCGGTTACATAATGCACACATTAACTTTTATATTACACGTGAACTGACAATAAATCAACATATGTCTGTCAAGAACATTCGATACCACGTCTCTTTTGGAATTTGTTTTTCTTTCCATTATATCTATATATACTAAACTAAAACAAATATTTGTTAACTATGCAAATGCTTTACATAAGAGCTGGTACCAGTTGTTCATAGAAAGAGTAAGCATACTCCGCTATGTAGTTTTTATAAAACGTTTAAAGGAGCATAATGGAAGATAATGTAAAGGCAATATGCTGAAAATTTTCAATCAAATTGCTCGAACCGAGATATTAACGTTTGAATTTTAGGCCTAGCCTTGATCACTATTACTAAAGTTGGTGCGATAAAAAAAACATAGTCTCAACTATCCACTTTTGGATTAAGTCATCAATGGGCGTTAAACTTCATATCGGATTCAAATCCAGTGAAAACCCGACACATAAGATGGAATCGATACTTGATTCAGGTCTTTTCATATTAATTAATGTCTAATTAATAGTTTATATAACATTTCAGACTTGAAGAAAGACCTACAATAGGCAAATTTAGCTCTTGCATAATGTAGGGGGGTTGGATGGCCGAAAGGTTATCACGTGCGTGCTGTATCATACGGCCTGTACGTGACAAGGATTAGGGTCGCCTGTCCAACCTCGTGGGTTTTCTCCGGGTCCTCCGGTTTCCTCCCACTGCTAAAGGACCCCTACGCGCAAGCGAATTATTGAAAGAAAATTAAACCACATGTTAGTCCCGAAATGACCTAGTTTGTGTCGAGTGGACGTTAAACCACATCTCTCTCTCTCTTCTCTCTATCTCCTCTCTCTCTCTCCTCTCTCTCTCTCTCTTCTCTCTCTCTCTATCTCTCTCTCTCTCTCTTGCATAATGTATGTTTAATTTTACATGCTTTCTTGTTCTGCACGAAATTTGTATGTGTTAATTGGCTAATCGATCATGATTCTTGAGTTCATTTTCCATGATCTGAAATGTTTTTTGGTGGAATGAAACTTCTGAGAAACCAATTCAGTGCACTTACCATTACCGAACTCGGTAAAGGCATAGAATTGACTTGACTATTCAGTTCAACCGTAATTAATTGGATTAGATCGATGTAATATTTGATACAAAGCTACCCTTCCATTGCTGAAATTTTGCTGTCGTAAGATTCAGTTTAAGACTTTAGCACATTTTGTACTTATAGATAGGTCAAATAAATAATGTCAAATAAAAAATGCATACAATGGAAACAGGCCAAAGACCATGAGAAGATTAGATTTGTTTATATCACACGTGAAACACTACACAAACGAAAACAGAATCGGGTTTACCCAGACAAATTATTTAAATAGGTTGTGAATAACAAATACAAGTACATAACTACCATGTGAATGTACGGTAGAGTATCACATTAGCCTATAATTCTGATATACAGTACATTGAATGATCAGTCATTTCTTCCTGAAATACCTATGAGATTTCTCATTCATTTTGGGATATAGACAAGTCGGCGCTGGGCCAGGATTTCCGATCGTCCACAACCTCGTTATTGATAAACATGAAAGAATCACCAGTTTGTGGACCGAGTCCTCCCCATAAATCCGCCCAGGAAATATTTGTTTTTCACGTTTTATCACGTCTGATTATCAAGTACGGGTTTTCCACATAATGTTTATGTGTGTTTATTATAGAGTTCGACTTGAGGTCAAGAACAAGTGGCTGTAATAGAACACCGTAGTTAAGGCTGCTCAACAATAAATGAATATCTCCAAATATTTCGACAATTACACCACAATATTTGTACATATAACAAGCCTTAACTTAGTTTCGCAAATTTATATTTACTAGGAGAGAGATCATTTAAGCTATGTCTGTTCCTCAATCCCTGTCAATTTTTGAAAAAAATATTGTTTAAATATATATATATATATATATATATATATATATATATATCAATTCATTAAATAAAAGGTCGTGTTGTATTTTACAAATTCTAACCATTTAAACATCAATAAAATAAATAGACTGAAAAGGTAATTAACGACCAGCAGTCAATCCGGGCTTTTTTTTAGGGCAAACTAGGTTTACATGCCCTTGGTTTAAAGTGAGTCCCGCTTTACCAGTCAATCGACATTGCTCCGGCCTAGATAATCAAGAATATTTTCTACGAAACATTACAGAAAGCTAAATCAATAAATCCCTAACGCCCTAACAACCGCCATACTTGTTTTCATTTTGTAGAACAAACATGGCAATAGCTTAGGGGTAACAAATACACCGGTGGGTCACGCCCACATCCAGTATATGCCGTGTCGAGCAAAATATCCACATCCGGTTAGCTAGTCAACTACCAATTACCTCCTGGCTGATTGACAATATTATTGCAATACAATAATTATGTCTGATCAGGTGCATATTATTTTACTAATTAGATGACATAAGCCAACCACGATATATTTCTGTTCTAATGAAATATGACAAAAGACTGTCTTATTCCAAACAATAACTATGCCAACGTCATTCAATTCTTCTTATTTCGTGTAATGTTTTGGACAACAACGTAGAAACACCAGATAACTGTCTGCATCATAAAGCCTAGTATTCAAAATTTTGACTGTCTAGGGCACCCTGATGTTTGTCAAAGGGTGTATGGATTCTGTTATTCTGAGTAAAAATGAGGTATGTTAGAAAGCGTTAGTATACCCTTTCTTATGCAAATATGATAATAAAGACAATAAAAATTATCACACACCTAGGGACAATCGCAAGTTGATGTTAGTCTCTCGATATTGTTTTGACATCAGACATATTGGTCTATTTAAATCTGTTGGCGGGAAAGCTTCCACCTCTAATCTGCCCTTTAGGAATATGGAGAACCGATGCTGGTTATAATATAAGTTCTGGTAACTTGCTTCCACGTCTGTATAATATGCTACCCGATCTTTAAATTCGGCAACACTGGAAAAATAAAATAAAAAGTTTGATCAAGTGCCTTAGCTCGATTTGATATTTATTCAACATTAACCCAATGCCTTATACAAGTTTAAGTATACATACGTAAACACATCGATACAGGTAACAGCTTAAGATAACACAGGTACCACTTAATAATAAAAGTATGTTGACTCATGCAGATGGACCAAGGGCTAAAATATAACTAAACAGTTCTATTCCCGCTATTACTGCAGAAGTTGCTATATCATCGGTGGGAGTGGGTGGTGGGGGTGGATGGCCGAATGGTTAGCACGTACGCGCTGCATTATAAGGTCTGTCATTGAGTCAACTGGTGTGGTTTCCATTCCCCGGTTGTACGTGACAAGGAGTAGGATCGCCTGTCAAACCTCGTGGGTTTTCTCCGGTTTTCTCCAGGTCCTCCGGTTTTCTCCCACTGCTGGAGACCCATACGCGCAAGCAAATTATTGTAATAAAATTAAACCATATGTTAGTCTATGGCTTCACCAAGTACGATCGACCCCACAACCGAGAGAAGGCGACGATGACGTTTTATTCGGTCCCTGGTCTATACTGTACTATCGTTCTCGTTCAGAATACACACCTTTTGGAAGGAGCCATGTAAAGTTGATGGATGGTCTGTTCGTCACAGTATAAAATAGAAATACGTTTTAAGGCAAGTATCTGTGTAACCTCACTCTTGTATTTTTCAAACGTCCATTGGCATTCTGGATCGGCTTCCATCAGACCAACCAATATCTTGATAAGATACTGGCGGAGATCACTGAAATTAACACGAGAATAATTATTTTTCCAAGGGGGAGAGAGAGATGGGGTTTAACGTCCACTCGACACAAACTAGGTCATTTCGGGACTAACATATGGTTTAATTTTTTATTTATTTCAATAATTCGCTTGCGCGTAGGGGTCTTTAGCAGTGGGGAGAAACCGGAGGACCCGGAGAAAACCCACGAGGTTGGATTTTTCCAAAGGACAAACCCAGTGACTGACTTTCAGATGAACTTCTTAAGCGTTAATATTGGGTTTTTCCGGAAAAATAAGCCACTCTGCGCCAAAACAAAATTGAATAACTATCCTACCTGGTCATATTGCATTTTTCTGGGAGATTTCGCTGCCACATGATGTCACCACCAGCTATATACTGACATCCGGATATAGCACCACGTGGTTTACTGCTCACCATTTCATACCTGAAATCACAAGAGGTATCCATTTGTATGCGATGCATGACGCTACTAACTTTTATTCATCAAGGAAACGACAACACATTAAGTTAAATGCCAAAGTCTTCTTGTATTTCAGATAAGGTGCAGGTGAAGGTGGTGGTGGTGGGGGTAATGTAGACCGATGTAAGAAAGTGCTAAGACCAATGTAAGGTGTAAGGAGATTGGTGCAGTGGTTGTAATGACATGACTAATGTAACGGGCGTTAGTGCCATCAACTTTGATATTTTGTGTTGTGACTGTGTTGTTCTGTGTTTTGTTGGGCAGTTGTATTTCACTGTCTATTAGCAACAGTAGCTATGGAATACATGGAATAAGGCCTATGCGAGGTATGGATCCAACAGTACAGGCTAACTTACACAGACTACACGTCCCTCAATTAGTATAACACACCCAATAAGTGCAAGCATTATCACAGATGAACAAGCAAGTTGGTGATCTAAGTGTAAAAATCTCCAAGTAGCTGTGTGCACTGTCGATATAGTTTTACACGAGTCGTGGAATTGTGCCATGAAGCTATCTTAACTGTAAAGGTTCACATGCGCAGCTTGCATATCCTTTGGGTCTTAGCAAAACACGTACAATAAAGACCAGTTATCCTAGAAGCACAAGCTAATCTAAATGTAAACGTCTAACAGAAAACTGAAATGCTGTACCAGATTTGTATTAGATCTAAGTTTTACAGACCTACATGGTTAACTCTAGACTACATTGACAGAAGATGTAATATATATATGGCTCCTAATTTATTTGATCAGGACAATTTATAAAAAGTGGATGCAGATTCAGTGTTGTCAATTTCCTGATGACAAAAGCGTGCAATGATTGTATACATTATACAACTTTAGTTTGCGACAAACGGCAGAGTATAAATCAAGGTGTTCTTCTAAAATACAAAGATACCCTTGACCTTACTGGTATTTTCCGCAGGAACGGATGTCGAGTTATCTTTCCTTGGATTCTACACGTAACCACGGGTATGTTATATACACAGAAAAGCTGCATTGATCTCATTCTGGTTACAGAGCTATCCCTGGAGGTCGTCATGGAAACAGAACAGGTGGTGCAGCAATACCCACCTGGGTTGAATAAGAGAGTAAGGTTTGGAAGCAAATACAAAATTTAGTTCACCCAAGCTCCGCTTTTTTCATGTTCGCTTTCGTTAACAAATATTGCTTTACTATTGGAATACCGACGACCATAATTTAATAATTATGTTTAAATAATTTGCACTTTTAACTTTCACCTGCGAACACTTGTCGAACGGAACTTGGGTGTTTGGAACTATATTCGTTTCTAATTTTCTTATATCAAGCACAGATACAAAAAGATACAAAGCAAAGCCCAATTGTAATGGGAACTGCAAAGCCAAACCCAGTTGTAACCGGAAATTCTTCAGTTGAATTCCAATTACACAAACATAAGCATCTTAAAAATATCATGACGTTTGTTTAACTGGTTAAGATAATAGGGATGTCAATGTAAATGAAATGAAATGGTTTAACGTCTTGCAGTGGGTGCCAATTCACCGAAGTTTAGAATTGAAATGATTGGAAAAGGAAGGCTAGTCAAGTGGTTGGTTGGTGAGTTTTCCTAACTGGATTAAAATAGTGGTTCACTAATAATAAGTGGCTGATATATCAGATCTGTGTGCTGTTTTTCGTCATGGAAGAGGTAGAGCTCTATTAAATCGATTTAGACAGTTTTCACCCACAAGAAACCCAGAAGGCCCTAAACACAAAATAGATCTAAAGCTATCTTGACGGTCCAAAGTAATAAAATAAAAGAATAAACTCTTTTTTCGAGCAAATTATTCACATTTCAGCAATAAATCGAATTATTATCGATTTGGCATAACTTAAGCAAGTATGATGACTCGTATAGATAATGTATTAATAATTCTCGAAGCACGTAAAAACAATTCTTTTAGAAAAAGTTTACTCACATTATTGGTTTGTCGTTTCTGGCACCTTGGAATGGTTTATACGGCATCTCACAGGTTATTGCTTGAAACAGTGTACAACCAAGAGACCACATGTCGACTTTATGGTTAAATACGCAATACGACTTTTTATTAATGAAAGCTTTATTATACATGGCTGGATGCTGAAAATAAAAATGTTCATTCATCATTTGTAATTAATTATTAAATTCCGAATGTTACTTTAATTTATAAACATGTTATTTAAAATTGAAAAATATTCACTTTAATACCATTATTTGACATGGATCAATACGAGGTCCCTTACTAGGATGTGTGGTAGCTAGTTTTTAAGTATGGTTGGACGCCATGTATATTATTTTACGGTATATTAATATTGAAGAATCATCCGAAATCGTTCACTGTCTGATAGATGGATTTCTAGCGGTCAACGTATCTTTACGTGCACGTCAATGTATACACAAGTGGAGCTCGGCTTTCTATTCCAGTCGAAAGATATACTGTTTATCCTGTCAGCATCACGAGTGCTCGTCCTGTCAAATGGGAACTGAGTTTGAAGAAATCCGATCGTTTTTTTTCGAACCCGGGATATTCAGTTATGACATTTTGTACACTGTTATGTGTTTACTATATATATATAGAGAGAGAAATGGAGTTTAACGTCCACTCGACACAAACTAGGTCATTTCGGGACTAGTTTACTATATAAACACCGGTAAAAAATTAACAACTGCAAAATATAAAAACATGCCATCGCAGTGAATAGAATAATACGAATTATATTTATTGTCCTATATATTATTAAACCATGTAGTTAATACATAAAAGACACGATTTTCTTTATGTGAATGTCCAGGAGGTCTTGCATATTATGTTTTGTGAGTTCCTTTGGCTATAGAATGCAATGTAATGTAAAGCGTTTCGCAATACTTGTTAGCAGAGGTTAAATAGATTGTTTACAATTATGGTAACCATGAACAGGTTACCTTGTCGTTTGTATGGGTCATCGTCGTTAATCCAGGAAAGATTAAAATAATAACCGATTTTACAATAATAAATGTGCAGGAGAATAAATATTGACTTAACCATTGTTGAAATTAAGGACCAAATATGAAAGAAAATACTATATAATGATATTTGGTAAAACCTGTGGAAAATTTGCCAAATACTTCCACGCATTATAAAGTGGAAAATAAAAACGAAACTAAGTTAGACATAAAGATAAATTAGAAAATGAAACGAAACGAAATACGACATTCAGATTAATTAGGAAATAAAGCGAAACCAAAGGAAAGGGACGGAAATAGATAATAGTGTGTTAATAAATGTCTAATTAGTCATTAAACATACATTATGCAAGAGCTAAATCTGCCTATTGCAGGTCTATCTTTCGGTCTATCTTTTTTATGATATTTTTCCATTTTATGATAACTTTATGAGAAATGATGAAATTTTATGAAAATATAAATGATTTTACATTGTACGGTCCCTGATACGTATGTATAAAGTGTGTAATTATGGTTTGTTAGTAGATCTTATGAATATTCTCACGTTCAATGTGAAATAAATTGTCTAAACGTAACCTGTGAGGCATAGCAGAATATCACAACCATACCATTAACTTCACAATACAACTATAACTAAGATTGAAAATGCATGGCATCGTTTAACATTAACTGGAAAGTAGATTGAAAGTCATTACCTTGACTTATAGAAACTCTTTATGCATGTTATTATTCCTCTTTCAGTTTTACCATCATGCCGCTTTTATATTTTATATCGACCTTTTAAAGGGATATTTTAATGTATGTAATCACTGTTTATCATCTGGTTACCTTTTATAGAGATTATGGCGTTTGTTTTGTTGTTTTTGTTATTGTCTGTATGATGTTGTAGGGGTGGGAGTTAAAACTCGCTTCCACCTGAGGTGATATCGCAGACGGATGTCTCGTAGTTTGTATCATGACAATATTGTTATTATTTACCAGGCAATACTTTGTTTAGCCTGCAAAAGTATAACTTGTCTGAAAAGCCCATATAATATGGTATGTGACCTATTTCTTGAAAATCAATTGCATTGTTGCACACATTTGTGTACAAAATTTGCCGATTGGTTCCTTGACAAGATAAGACTTAGTATATTAGCTTTACATTCACTTTGATATTTAGACATAAATATGACTCTTTGCTAGACATATTGAAGTATTCTTTATTATTCATCAACATGAAAACTCAACTGGTCTTCTCCGAAAAGAACCAGGCCCTATTTGCAATAGGGTATATTTTTCTGCTCATCTGTATTCTGGATTGGTTTTGGAAACGCTAAATGTAATATAGCCCATACCTTACATCGCAGGTATCTTATTTACAATAAAGAGTATAAAGAACATGAACTGTCTGTACACATGTTCCTTGCTCGTCGAGATTTCCCATATCATGTTCAATAACTTTTCGTTAAATACTGGCGTTCTAATTCATGTCATATTGCCAAGGGACTGAATACCAATGGGGTAAAATATTCTCATCGTTTTGATAATTCCCTTCCTCGCTGCAATGAATGGGAAATGGGATACGGGGCCCGACATTTAAAATAATTTATAAAATTTTATAAAAGATAAAACACAATATTACCAGGTATTCTTCGGTTCCTGCCAATGAGAGAAATTCTTCTGAATTTTCTGATAGAAGTCGGCTTGCCCCAAAGTCGGATATTTTGTAGACGGATCTTAAAAAATAAAATAAAAGACAAATTAAGTTTAAATATAGATTAATTTAAAATTCAATGATATTTTTTTTCAAATTTGAAAGAATATAACTTTTGTAATTGTGAACCGATCTCAATAATTGAAAAAAAAAAACAAAACATATTTTTTAAATATCTAAGTGTTCTATAAATTTAAATGTATATATTATGAGCCATATATATACATTCTTAAATATAAGATTCGTTTGCGCCCGTTCACACTTGCTGATTGAGGATACTTATTTATGTCCATTTCCACTATATTTAGATGAGTGTCATTGTTAAGAGTTTATCAGGGCTAACGTAGAGTCAATATTTTTGTGTTAAGCAATCTTTGTAATTTCTTATTACCTTTAGTATGATGCACATGCTATTCAGTGAAAGCAAATACGGCGGCTTATTACCCCACAGTATAACAATATTTTTCGGAACATAAATATTGTTCACAGAAATCGCTTTTATAATTATATGTTTATGAATTTGCGGCCGAATTGAGGACGATTATCGTTTTGTATAGAAATTCTGTGCCACTTGATGAATTCCTTGTCTATTATTAAACATACATTATGCAAGAGCTAAATCTGATTATTGCAAGTCTTTATTTAGGCTTCAGATGTCATAGAAATTATAAATTAGATCTTTATTTACACAACAAGCACAAAATCAACTCTGTAAACCCACGGATGGCTTGGATTCGGCTTGGATTTAAACAAGATTTCGTTGATTGATTAAATTTTAAATGGCGTTGTAAGAGGAGATTAACCGTTACGTTGACGTCATCTACGAAGCGAGGCCGCTGTTGAACGAGGCCGAATGTCAGTCAATTTGATTGAAAGTTTGATATTATGTTTAGTTGTGGTTAAAATGAGAGTTTGGATGTCGGTATTATACGCTCTTTTGTCACTTGCGTTTACAGAAAAATTATAGAAATTGATAAACATCGCAGCTAACATCACCCCAGTTGAATTGCAGCTCCATTGGATCACTGTTCGGGAGTTACGTAGACCTACCAGTTACAGTACAAGAGTACACGCAGGCTAACAAGAAGTCGGCTATAATTATGCCTCATTGATTTGGTCCATTCCTTTCAAACTTTCGCTTCTTATCTATATATTAAAAGTCTTATTTTTAATTTGTAGTAAAAATAAATATGATACGAATTGAATTGCAACCCCGTCTCAAACCACAACCACTGAAAACGTTAATTGATAATCGAGATTATGTAGGTGGAGTTAACGCCTGTTAATCAAACGATCGTCCATTCTCGGAGAAGGTGAAGAGAGATTTGACTCCTATTTCTAGTCAAAAATTACAATAGTGACAACTTTGTTCAGAATAAAGTAATTTGTCTGAAATCTTCAATATATTCTTCTTTCATCATCTATTTTTGAACTATTATAGCAAGAATGGCCAACTCTCTATTAAAATCACCCATAATGTATCTTTAAACCAGGATCTCGAATTTTAATTAACCCCAGAAATGAATTCCCCTCGCGTCTATATGTAGCTTAAAGGAGACAAATTGTCCTGTGAATAGGCATTTCCTATGTGTTTAAAACCAACCTCAAATATTTCCTTGGCAAAACCACAAACACTATACAGTAAATTGAAGAGGAAAGCCCTTGATTTTATAAATATTTCATTGCGGATGCATTATGTAAAATTTAGAAAATAAACTGACTGTTCTTGCTATAATAGGTCAAAAAAAGATAATGATATATATTAGCTTACAGTTTTGAAATTGTAAAAAAGATTAGAATTATAATAACTATAACCGACCGTTAGTATTTAAACATTTGAGTTTAATAAAAGGGTATTTTTTAGCCGCAGGCTGTTTCATATCAATAAAGTAAACAGAAAAAGAAACTGGAAAACCCACCCGACCTTGACTTCGTTCTGAATAAAATATGAGGACAAGTTTAAATATTTAAACAATTTGGGGTTTCTCGTCGGAAATACGAGTTACTGAAGCTCACTTTTGTCAACTTTTTTTTTCAGGTAATTTATAAATATTTTCAAAGTGATCGAATCCCATTGCTTCCCAATTCTATATTATTTTTGTTCAATAGGTTAATTACCCAAATTTTAAGACTTGTAACATGGACGGGAAATCTTCCTTTGTTCTTTTCATTGAATAAGCAGATTGTTTTCCCTATATAGCTGTCTGGCTGGAGCTTAAACGTGCAATAACTAGATATTTTCAATGTTATTGCACATTTTTGCTGGTTTACGCCAGTATTAGTACAAATCATATAGAGCATGTTGAGCAGTTGTCAAAAAAATAAATAAATAAAAAAAGGTAGGCATTAACACATTCGAGTGCAAATTTTTATTAAATGTTTTGCTTGAATTTCTGTCCGACATTGTGAAAAATAATAGACTTTTAATGCCTACTTCAAGCATCATTGAGTGATTTTGTCAATCTACAGTACCTATTTTTTATCAGGAATATTATATTTCTAAAAACTAAGAAAAATCAAAACATAGAATCAAATAGCATAGTAGGCTCACAATAAATTTAATTTGTTAATTATTTCAGATTGTCAACCAATGTCTGCCCTTCTGTATCCTTGCACGTGCAGCTCTTTTAAGTTGGTGCCCATTCATTCATGTATTACACTGCATTATGGCAACCGCAGGTTGTAGATTATAAAATAAAGGACGCTTGAACCATTTCGTACCTGCCAACACATAATTAACCGGTATATTTCCCAGTCGTTAGATCTTGACTGTCGAGAAAACAATATCTTAAAGATACATTATGGGAGATTCAATAACGAGTTGGCAGTTCTCACTATAATAGTTAAAAACTAGATAATGTAAAGGCAGTTTGCTGAAAATTTAATTCGAATTGATCCACTATGAAACGAGAACTAAGGGATTGAAATTTTCGACTAGCCTCGATCATCATTACTAAAGTCAGTACGATAAACCGCATAGTCTCGATTATCCATTTAATCGTTAAGGAAACTTATTCAGTAAATCGGCTCACAATCCACCAAAGATCACAGGCTAGCGATGCCATCTAGAGTTGATTATGGTCCTGATAGGTTAATTAATGTCTAATTAAAAATTTAGATAACATTTCAGGCCTAAAGCAAGACCTGCAATAGACAGATTTAGCTCTTGCATAATGTATGTTTAAATTGTAGTGAACTGTATAATAAGAAAATCTAACTTACTTCCCCTCTTGTGTAATATTCCTGAGAATGTTACCAGGTTTAATATCCCGGTGTACACACCCATGTTCACGTAGATGTTCTAAACCACTAGCTGAAAAAAAAACAAGTCATATACCAGGTCACCCTGCACGTTTCAAGTCAGTAGCTTGAAGCGTATATATGGTATTAGTGTCAGTGGCTTGTGGCACGAAGTAACAGTATATTGTCGCATACATAATATATTATGTCAACGCTTGGGCGACATAATATATTGTGTTGACGCTCCAAGCGTGTTAGCATATTAGACCTGTAGACTCAGTGGAATGTACGCGTCATCAGAGCGGATCCAGGGGTTGGACCATGGGGACCGGTCCACCCCCTTAACAATAGAAAGTGTCCCTGTAAATAAAAGAGGGCATCCTTATCAGAAAAAGGGCACCTGTGATGTCAGAATTTCAAAAAAGGGCACTTTTCTTTCGGATTAGGGTTAGGGTTAGGGTTAGGGTTAGGACACAGAAAAGAGAGAAAAAACAGAAAAGAAAAAAACAATCGAAATTACCGATTCCATGATGGAAAATACCGCCAAAATATGTCTCCAAAGCATTCATTGGTTATCAAAGCGCCAATTAAATCTATCGTTGCAAGTTCATGCCTAGTCACCTCCATCCTAGTTCCAAGCGTTGACATAATATATTATATCGCCCAAGCGTTGACATAATATATTATGTATGCGACAATATACTGTTACTTCGTGCCACAGGCCACTGACACTAATACCATATATACGCTTCAAGCTACTGACTTGAAACGTATCGCCTGACCAGGTTTCTTACGACCATATTCTCCAAGACCAAGTTTTTACAGTAGAGCTGCCCGCTTGCCTTGTACGACTACATTCTCCACGCCCTACATTGTACAGAGGAATGGGATTTTGGGGTATTACGGGGAGAGTTTAGCCTTCATTCAATCTCCATGCGTCGGTGCCCAGTAACTCTACGCCTATTGTTTTCAGTTGCATTAAACACAATTTTCTTCTTGTTTTGAATAAAGTAACATAAAATGATAAATGTTTTACTTTGAAACCGATCGTTCTTTTATAATATGTTTTTTTATATTTCCACATTGACGATTAGCTTCTTTGGTATTTAAACAATATAATAGAATACAATATTATGTGATATACATTATAAGGATTAACATTATTTTACAGTAATACATAGTATAGTATCAAGTTGATGAAACAAATATTCGAAGGAGAATATTGCTATTTTAAGTAGTCCACGGCGCTATTGAAAGCAATGGCGGCTGTTCCGGGTTCAGTAAAGATCATAAAAGATAGATAATTTATTGGGGTCTGTTAAACATCCTGAATAAATATATTGAAATGGAAAAACACACTTTCGTTCCGTGTGTTTTCTGGTATTGCAACATAAATTCCCCTGAATTTGGATGATAATTTCGACAGTTTTGGTTTAAAATAAAATATTTCCAAAATGAAAAAACTTCCCCGTTAATTTTCATATCTGTTCCTTATTTCTATAAGCATATTCATAAACGATGTTGGAAATATATATAACGAATTCTTTATGTAGTACATTCCATTGGAGCCGTGATGCTTTATTCCGTTAGGTCGTTGACTTGAGTTTGTTATTGACTATGAATTGACGTTATCCATAATTGTCTAAAAGATCGCGGTTTGGGTACTTACTGACATCATTCAATAGAATAAGAAATTCAGCGTCTGGTAAACCGTGTATGTTCTCAACTTCCTTCAAGTATGAATACAGTGAACCACTAGAACAATATTCCATAACCAGACATGGTAAGTTAGTTGATGACTAGAAGTAAAATATAAAAAAAATGTAAAGAGTACTGGTTTTTCTACAAAAATTATGCTACAATTTAATCCACACATACCATTATGGTGAGAGAGAGAGAGAGAGAGAGAGAGAGAGAGAGATGGATTTAACTCCACTCGACACAGACTAGGTCATTTCGGGACTAACATATAGTTTAATTTTATTTCAATAATTCACTTGCGCTTAGGGAAAGTTAGCAGTGGGAGGAAACCGGAGGAACCGGAGAAAACCCACGAGGTTGGACAGGCGATCCTACTCCTTGTCACGTACAACCGGGGATTCGAAACCACGCCAGTTGACTCATTGACAGGTTTTATGATACAGCGTGCACGTGCTAACCATTCGGCCATCCAACCCCCGTACCATAATGATACAGTTAAACAGAAATATAAGGAAATATTTACTTAAATCCCCACTAAAATGTACTTGTTTTAAAGCGCGTTTAGTTCTAACAATTCTTCAAATCGACCAGCAATTACCATTTCAAGTTTACATTGGTTTCTATTGACTTGCCACTATCATCTTTCTTTGTCTTAGACAAGAAAAGTAATATATATTCTGCTCATCGTTTTCGTACAAGCCAGCCAATTCTTCGTGATTTTTATTTAATTAAATGTTAACAACAGTTTTTACATTAAAATACTGCATATTCTTTATATTTGAGATACATGTAAACGATCTAGCTTGTTCATTTAACTGTACAAACAGCAGTTCAAATATCCCCTTTTCCGTCGAGGTTTTAAATGACATTTTGTTATCACCATCACATACGAAACCCATGAATTCTACTATTTCTGGATTGGTCTCCAAGTAGATCGATTCCTGGATTCCTTTTTGCCTTATCGCAAAATAAATGAATTGTTAAAGTTCATATCATGCACGCCTTTTAAATATACGAATTTAAAATGTTTCAAAACCCCGTTGGTTTTTTATAAATGGGAATCCAATCTGGCAGACTCCCCAATACATAGTTAACTTACATCAAATTCCCGCCCGTAAAACTCCACAATATTTGGATGACGTCGGAGTCGCTGTAATGCCGTCACCTCCTTCAGCAATTCTCGACTCCATGATTGGTCTTTGAGAATCTTTAACGCGGTAACTCGGTTATTCTCCTGTAAAGACAAAGTTTAGAAATGAAATGGGGTTTAACGTCCTACTGTTCTGCTCCTATACTGGGCTAATGAAGACGGGCATACGCCATACAGTGGGCTATTAGGGAAATTTTTCCCGGGCAGCGGCACTATCGCCTACTCTTATATTGAATTCCAACTGCCAAGAGATATTTTGCGTGCACGCCAATGTATACACGGGACCTCGGTTTTTCTTCTCACCCGAAGGACTAGACAGCTGTTCTTGTCAGGCCCTCCGTTCTGCACCACTGATAAGGGGAAACCACGTCGGAAAATCCCGATGAACTTTCTCGGCCAATGCAGGGATCGAACACCCGACACCAGGTTAGCGAGCCAGCGTTTTAACCACCTAGCCACAGTGGCTCCCCAAAAAGTTTAGAAGAAATGTACTTAAACATTCCACAAAAGAAGACTCTTGTATTTCGTGCTGTATATTGTTCCATATTCTTTACATTGGCAAATATCTTTTGAAATCATTTTGGATTAAGTGTTTGCAAATTATCCATCTTTAAAATGCTATGGGGTCCTTCCCTGTTTGTATGAAAAATCTGAAACATATTTGTCCGCAAATTGCTAAGAGTTTTTATTTTGGCATCAAATGTTACATAAACTATTATTTAGTTATAATGAACTCTCTAGACCAAAATCGGATGGCCGAGATTTAAATGGATTAGGACACCCGCGCGATTAAAAAATGCATATAGATTTATCAATAATCGTAAACATTTTATAGTACTTTATATAAGTTTATTTAGAATATGATATTATGATGCGAAGATATGGTTTTATAAGGGGAGATAACCTAATGCGCCTACCTTGTTATAACCTTTATATACATCACAGGAAGAACCGATGCCAATGCGCTCTTTGTAAAAATGACCCGTAGTTGAGCGAACAGATGTTAATACATTGTGTACCGCGAGCATCATCAGGCCATATATTAAGCTATTTTCAATTTCTTTAAATGCCAACATCAATTCTCAGTAGTAGAGACGTACTCTGTGCCTTTTATATGTTGGCGAACATCTTGTACCTAAAATAATAATATTCATTTCAGAATTTAAAAATCATTCCTGCCAAAGATTTTCTAAACCATTATTAGAAGGACATCTTTGTGTGATTAAACCCCACTTCATAATTTTACGACAAAAACTTACATCAAAAAATGATAAAGTCTCACGAATGCAGGGAATCAAAACAATGAAATTAATCAAAACGTATACTTCAAAACTAAAGACCGTATTATAGTCGTTGCCGTGGCAAACACCACATTGTTAACGTACAACCAATAATGTTTTAGAAGCTCCATATACCTAATTATGATATAAAAAAAAGTTATTATACATTATGTGTTGATTATATCAAGCAGGGATGTTGTCAATCTGTATGGCATAATCCACAACAGCCGCGTTTTATATACTTAAATTTTATAATTCCTGGAACAACTGGGTTATTTTCACATTTTCTGAAACATTATGGGTTTAGAATAGTTGGTCATGTATCTATTTTTAGATAATGAAGCTTGGAAAATACCCAACTTTACTTGACGGTTGGAAACAGGAAATGTGTGTATATAAATACTGTGTCATTTGATTATCAAGGAAATTGCACAGTTAGGAATTACCAATTCTGAAAGTAAAACTCGGGGATTAAAGGTTTTATTATATTCTTCGTATCTAGAGCCACGCCATGCTATAATAAAGGTTAAATATTGTTCCCAAGACCATACACAAAGTACGTTTTATGAAAATAAAATTTTGGTTCGAAAATGATTGAGATTTATCAAATGTAATTTAAAATTTATATTTGTGACTATTGATTTCACACCACTATTATTAATGCCCACGGGTGTATTATATATTCCATTATATAAATTAGAAATACAATTTCCCTTATATCGATAACAGATAAAATATCAATCATTACTGTAACCATCGCCCTGGCTGACAACAATTAAACTGTCTGCTACTGATGTATAAAACATTATGAAATTATTATTTCGCACAATAATAAATAGACGTCTTGTGCTTTCGCTCAAAGACAATTATCATCGTTTTCATACAGGATTTACTAAAGATGTAACAATAGTGTTGACATCTGGGGAATTCCCCAAATTGGTAACCACGAGCAATCCTTTTACCGGTAATTAGTCTTCTGGGAACATGCCATATGTTATATGTACAGCTAATGTCAAGCCAATCCTTGGGAGAGTCAACAGGACTTCAGAAGAGGAAATACGTGATCAATGTGTGTTTTGGGCCATGGTCATAAAACCAGAGGAAATTTGGTCATAAACTGTTCATAGTTGAAATTAGAATTGATTTAAAGAATTGTTGGACTAAAATGATTTTTGGTAACATTTCGATTGTGCATGGTCTTAAACTTTATACTTAACCTTTTATCTGACTTATTGTGGCTTTAAACTTATAAAACACGTAGTGAACTGTGTAGCAAAACACATACAAAACCAAATATGGAGGAAAGAAAGTCAGAAAAAAATCAGATATTACAGAGAGCAAATTTGCGAATGTTATGTCAAAATTGTTGAAAGGTGTGCGTTCTCCAAATTTAAAGCATATTGTGTGCGTGGTGGTGAATAAATCAACGTAGTAAAAATTCTGAGACGATGTCCCAATTTCAGTTCATTTAAAATTCTGATACGATTTCCCCATTTCATTCAATTAAAATTCTGATACGATGTTCTAATTTCAGTTCAATTAAGATTATTCATATAATGTTGCAATTCTTTACTTTAATTACCATTTTAAATAATTTTGAACAAATAATCACCCCGGTGAAAACTGATGCCATGGAGTTAATGAGAAGTGGTATGTTGGGGAATACCAGTCATCTAGCTCTGCCGTGCCTAGTTATTTAAACTATGCAATTTAAGCTTAGGGTGTAATCGTTACATTCCAGTAGTGGTTGTTGCCTGGAGCCTGGCATGGTATGAACGTTATTCATTTATCACATTGACAGATTGTGTGTCCTAAAATAGAAGTTATGAAATAATAAATACCATAAATATCAAGGGGTCAGAGATAAAAACATGATCAGCTATTCGCCGGTAAATTGAAGAGGTGCAGTGGCAATCGATTCTAATCAATCCTAGAAATTCTATATTTATTTATATATATCCGCGTGAGCTTTCCCAGAAATTATATTTTATGAAATAAAATGTATAACGTGTATTCCTAGAACAAGTATGTGAGTTTGATTAGAGTCTTTGCTTATCGTAGAAATAAACAGACGTATATAGTTTCAACTTAACCAGAGATAATATTATTTTCTGGTTCCTGTTTTGTCATAAAACTTAGACCTTTGAATGCAAGGTTTTGTGCATTATGTTCCATAAAAGACCTGTTTACCCTAAAGAGCTAATTAAGAAAACAAGAGAAGAAAAGTTGAATTAAAAATTTTATAAACGTCAATTATACTGAATCTTGATTACATAATTGTTCATAATATAAATATCTCTAATTAGTCAACTGTACAGCTTACCAGTGTTAACAGGTGATATCACAGTGTATTAATATACGTATTTGGCCCCAAAAAGTATTGTATTGCATTTATCTGATGTTTTATTTCGAGTAGAGATGCATGACAAGATATAATATATAGTTCAATAGTTCGATTTTTGTTTCAATAGATTACGCGGAATTTTCATTTAATCGATTATATCTCAACACTGATTTATCCTATTGACGTAAAAGTTTAAAGATTTGTCCCAATTTTAGGCACACTAACACTATTTATGGAATTTTAGGCAACATATATTTCAAAATTTTCTACTAAGTGTTTTCAACTAATTAAATTTCACACGGCTCAAATAAATCGTTAATATGAAGTAAAACGCCTTAATTATTTTACGATATGGACTTTTGTTTGCATAAGAAAAATAGCTTATACGAGATTATCTTTATTATCATGAAAAGACTTATACAAGATTATCTTTATTTTTAACAAAAGAATTAATACGATATTATCTTTATTATCAATAAAAGTGCATTTTAAGTCCCGATGCTAAATTGTAAGTAATCTGAATCAATTACAAAATACAATATCGTGACAGATGAATCTCTATTAGGATTATCAATTCCAAAAATGGTTCAGTCCCGTTCAGAATTTACATATATATCTAGAATTGAAATTTCATCGATCTATATTGCTTACTATGACCGCCACCATATTTTTCTTGTTCACGAAATATTAACGATATGGGACATTAACTAGCGTTGGTATTTTGATTTTGTTTTCTCAATTAAATGTTTAATAATCAATCTCAGAACATAATAACGTGGATTAGGCTGTGATAAATTTGATGTCAATATGGTGAATCGTTACATTGAAACCTAAAAAACCCGTGATATAAATATCTGACCTTGACCTGGTGAATATGTTGAGTAGGTTAGGATGTGATAATTAATTTTAAAGCTGACTGACCGTCACTCGGTCAGCAGTTATAGTTCCTGGTAAAGTTGAAATAAAACAAAACAAAAACTAACCGATACGTGTAGAATGACGTCAACCTCATCAGCTTTGTATATAGTTAACATCGTCTAAACAGGTTTTCTTCCCCTTTAATAAGGTTGCTGCTTGGTTCGCTTACGCTTCACTAAAAAATAAACAAGACATTGATGGCGTACCCTTAGTTCAAAAGAAAACCCCAGCTATATTCAAATTAGGTTTCAGGTGTTTGTATATATTTTTTTTCTACAGCATGATTTATTAAATTGTAAGTGAAGGTGGAAGTAAGTGGGTAAAACATAGGGGAATTTCCTAAATAGTAAATCCAGCTTTTGCATGTGAGCCTGCTACGTATGACTGCGTCATTGCATATTAATGGTCATGTCCATTGCCCGGGATCAAATGGACGCCTCGTGGCCATACTCAATGTGATGCAAACCATAATTATCGGATATGACTTATGATTGTTACGTGTCTTTATATAATTTGACTCCAAACTGACTAATGTTCTTTTAGTAGATTTGCGCCTTGGTTGTTTAACGTCTGCTTCCACAAAAGTGATATCGCAGACAATTCTATTTGCTTCCTGTGTTCCTGTTTTATTTTTGTTCCATATAAGGCTCTGATGATTTCACCATTACGTGTATCACGATATCGGTACTATTAAAGAACCTTACGTCATGGATTCAACATTTACTATTTTTAGATTAATTAGCTAAGTACTATAAAAGAACATTACTAAATTGATTTAAAAAATCTATATTAAAGCAATTGTGTGGCAAAATGACATGGTTCAACAATGCGTGACACATTAGAATGACTATGTCTCACATGTAGAATTATTTGACGGTTAAAACTGCGTAATAATATATCCCGAGATTTGTCTATATATGCCCATCACGGCACGGGTAACGAAATCCAAAAGAATATCAAAAGGAAAACAGAATCAGCCATCAAACATAATTCGAAGCAATAAAACTAATAAAATCCATAATGTCGGTTTATTAAGACTAAGATCCCTACTTTAAATATTGCATAACATCGCACCATAACATCCATGAAATACATTAATGTTTGATAAATGGAGTTTCCTTTAGTGACTAAATAAAACATAGTCATTATTTGTCATGCAGGTTTGTCCTCTGCAAAGTACATAGTTATTTATAGGGGTGAGTGGGTCACTAATTGATGTTTGGTATAATAGTAATGTATAGTCACGGATGCGTCACTAAATAATTATAAGACATATTTGGTAATTCCATAATATATATAAAGTGTGTGTAGGTAAGGGTGTGTGTATTTATATGTTTGTGTTAGTCAGAGTAACACTATTTTATAAACCTATAACGGTCTGAAAGTCGGGGGCGGCTTTGGATATATACAGAGAATTTGGAGTCAGGGGCGGATTGGGCTATCGGGTGATCGCACGAAGGGCCGGTCGGACAAAAAATGAAAAAATAATTTTGTCCAATTCGTCTAAAAAACTTTTTCTGCTGAACATTATATGGGGGGGGGGGGGTTGGACTGGCCATAGAGCGATGATGATCATGTTGTATGTGGCCGGTGGCTTTAACAGGCCGCCACGCCATCACTGGAGTCTGCAATGGGCTGGTATAATAGACTTTCTGGGCCGGGTGTGCTGGGTGTGGACCGGAATTCGGAATCCTGCAATGGGGATTCCGAATTTCATCCGAAAATATCATCGGATATAACATAATTTCAAGTAAAACAGGATCTGGATTGAACATTAATTTATTCTAGAGAGACCCTTCTCTGGTGAGCTACTAAGCTCTACTGATTTGTCTCAACGACCTCAGCTAATTTATACCAAACTTAGATATCTTAAGAAGTTAACTAAAGCATGCATGTACATATATTATTGATATTAACTATATTGAATAAAGAACTACACAATGAATCAGCTGTCATTGGTAGATAATTTCCCAATAATTATATTGATGTTGGTGACCCAGCGGTCAGCAATCGGGCAATTATTGTTTAACTTGAACTCTCTCACCCTGTAACACGGATTCACCCGACACTGTCGCCCGCAAATTTACTAATTATTAAGTCACTTTCGTCACTCTGTACCAATGTGTCTCGTGGCCTTCCATCACAGGAGGAATCAACTAGCGCTCCCGGCATCAAAAATGTGACATTTTTCAATGAAAATATTCCTACTTATTCAATATTCCTAACTGGTTAATCAAATGGTCAAAATTTTCTCAACTAGTCCCATTTTTAACCAGTTAAATTCGCTTGACTCTTGACGATACAATGATAATACGTTAATTAATAATATGACGATATGATAATTTCACGGCTTGGTGGTTATAAATTACTAGCATGTCGGGGTTTTGGCAGAGATTATAATCAGATATGCCACCAAATCGCATATTTGGGGTTCATTGTCAAAATTTTCCCGTAGGAGAGCCCCTGGACACCCCCCGTCCGGGCTCCGTGGTCAGTAAAAGGGGCCGCTCCGACACGGGAGCCCGGGCCGGTTCCCGGCCCCAATCCGCCCCTGTTTGGGGTTATTCTTCTGAAAGTTTTTTTTTTAAACCTGTACAGGGTTATTCTTCCAGGTTAAGTTTTTCTTTTCCATAAGAAAACATGCTATAAGGTTTTTCTTACGGGAATTCTAGGATATTTTCATTTTGCGTACAAGTAAACATAGACGGCTTATAAGCTGAGGAAGAAAGACTTCAGAAAAAACCGTCGACAGAAAAACCTCGGGCTCCCGGCCTCGGTTTTTCTTTTTCTCGGGTTATTTTCTTCAGTCTTGCTTAGCCCAGCATAACCTCAGTTTCGTGCTTTATCCTACACATAATCCGTTTGTGTTCCAAGAGTGGGCGCCCCAAGTTGCCCCGCAAGAATGCTACTGTATATAATCTACTGCGCATTATAAAACTATGTATTGTGCGTCAAACAAATCAACGCCCCTCTCACTGCACAAGTGCGGGTGGAGTAGACCACGTTAAAAAATCACCACAAAAGAGTCATTTACCCTAATAATTGAAAGCTTTTAGCAAATATTTTACTTTTTCGTGTATTTACATTTATAATTACATGTGTTTGTTAAAACCCGTCGAATATTCGAATATCCGAACACTACTTCGTATGGATTATTGCTACTAGTTTATGAAAGTTTCGAAAAAATATATTAAAATATGAAATGCCTGAATGGGTTGTGAATAGCTCATTTTTCACCTTTTTTCGCCTTTAAATTGAAATGATCCGAAAACGAAATAAAAATTAAAAAAACTGAGCGCTATGATTTCTGCGCCTTAACAGGGCACACCCTTTCAGTCATACCAGATTTGAAAAAAATAATATTTGCTTTCAAAAAGTGGTACCGAACTGTCAAAATTGCAGTTTTTGCTAAATTTACGTCACTTCCTTTGCCGAAAGGAAAATGTACCCGTGACAAAAAAAATGACATTTTGGACCGCGGAACATACGAACTTTGGTTTATACAAATCGAACAATAAATAATTAATCCAGGACTGAAAAACTGAATTAGCCAATGGGGGCCAAGGAATAATACGGTGACAAAAAATATTGACATTTTTTGTCAAATCAGATGACCCTTTAACCCTCGGTAAAATACCACATAAAAATATTCATTAATAAAAAAGGTTTTCATAAAAATTTTAATTTTCAAAATTTGGCGCCTAATATCTCCGAAGATTCGTCGAAAATAAAAAATCCAAAGAACCTTAGCTATGTGCCTTGTCTCTGGCTATGTCAAAATGTATCAAATATTACAATACGACAATTATTGATAACATTACGGCAAAGTATCGAAAAACGACAACTTCGGTGATTTCGGACATTTCGCATTGTCGCAGAACGTTAGAAATAGCTTTAAAATTTAAGTCAAACCCACTTTCCCAGTAAAATCGAATCGATCCGACAAGTAGTTTCTGAGATATGCTCAAATGGAAAAATAATAATAATAATAATAATAATAAAAATAAGAATAATAATCCGAACAAAAACAATAGTGTGAAACCCTAATAATAAGAATAATAATCCGAACAAAAACAAATAAATAATGTTAAGATTAGATATCGGGCTGTTGGGAAAACCCAAAAGCCTTGACCTTTGAGAGGTTTAGTGATGTAAACTGAGCTGATATTGAAATGAAATGAAATGAAATGGAGTTTAACGTCCTACTGTTCTGCTCCTAACCTGGGCTAATGAAGACGGGCATACGCCATACAGTGTGCTATGAGGGAAATTTTGCCCGGACAGCGGCACTACGGCCTACTCTTATATCGAATTCCAACTGCCAAGGGATCTTTTACGTGTACGCCAATGTGTACACGGGACCTCGGTTTTTCGTCCCATCCGAACGACTAGACAGCTTTCCTTGTCAGCCCCTCCGTCCTGCATCACTGACAAGGGAGAACCACGCCGGAAAATCTGAGCTGATATTGAAATCCTGGTGCGATGCTTTAGAGTATCTATGCATGATACTTAATGCAAATATTAAATGCAATGTGTAAAATATGCAGCTTGTATTTTAGTAAGTGTAAAACCAAGCTTGAAGTCTTTTTCCAGTCAGAGTTATATCGCATGCAGCAGAGGGTACACACATTTTGGAAATGCTGACATTTTAAGCATATTGATTTTTACTGGCAACCAAACAACTATTTCACTAATCAAATAATAAAACTAGAGCGTGATTTATATTGATTGTATGGTATTTCTAAAATATCACGAACAAAATATATCACACAATTCCATTACTATAACAGTCTCACTTTCACTTTCCTTTCATACTCAGTGATGTATTAATTACCAGACCCCTCATACATAGAAAGGTTACCTTGCCCCGCCACCCCACCCCCCGTCCTAGTTTATTTTTTTTGAAAGTATAATAATGGCCTCATTACATGTTTCGATAAAAGTCACTCGTCGCGAAGGCATACAGCCTTTGTTTACAAGTATCTCACACACAGAGATAAGCTACTGTATATATTATAATTAATCTACACATTAGGTAGCGTCTAACGTAGTAAACTAAGTGAAAAGCCCGACACATACACAGCTGTATATTCTGCAGTGGGGTTTTCACAAAATCTACTAAACAAAATAAAATAACGACTTACCTCGACTGGGTTTTTGAGAAATGTGTCTGTCTG